GTGGAGTCCACCCAACGAAGGACTGACAAAGCACTGAAGTAGCTGTGGTGCTTTGCGCACTGCTATTGGCAGAACAGATCGGGCGCAAGTGGACGCTTGTTCGAACTTGAATACAGAATCTGTACTCGAAACCGAACCAGCATCCATAAAGTAGGGCAGAGCGGCAAGGCTCTTTCTTTCAAAGTACCAGCAGGTACACCTTATGCCAGTGCCTTAAACTCGGCCCCATACTAGCTGGAAGTTGACAAACTCTGGAGTTGAGGCATCACGACCAAGCGACCCAATTTACTCCTTTATTTCGGTCCATTGCAAATGCGCCATATTTGACAGGTCGCAAATAGCAGTTTGATCGGTGTTTGAACAGAATCTGTTCGACAGATTCATTACTGCTATTCCTCAGACAGCGATTTTGCGGCAAATCATACATGCTGCGATAATCCAGCAACGTTTGGACTAACTTATTGTCCTAGTATTGCATTTATTTAATGGTGGCCTATCATCTCACCGCAACTCGCGAGCCATTGCCAGATACACACAGATCAGCAGTAGTGAGCCCAATGCTCCGGGAACACAAGCAACGGCAGATTATTCTCTTACTCCAAAACGCAAGTAGTTGGCAGTACATTATATATGAAAAATTCTATAGAGTCATTGCATTATCTATACCCTGCACGCGGCGTGCTGCTGAATGGGAATGTTGTGCCTCAGGACGACATCAACACATCCATTTGGTCACCATGCGTTCAGAAATTCACGAGGTTCCATTATGCGCGCTATGGTGAGTTCTGTTTACGTCCTGTGCATTAAATATGCATCAGTAATTGTAAATATTGTTATCGAACATCATGTTCAGCAATCATTCTTTTGGGAATCATTAGCAGACAACACCATATTGCGATGAAAACTGCTATGCCATTTTGACAATAAGTGGCACTGTCACAGTGATTACGATGGAGCAAACGTGGATTTGATCGCATTGATAAATGTACTATGACACCGCAACTAGCGTCGCAATAATGTCCTTCATTACCTGTGAGGAAATCATTTGGAACAGCAGATATGACAAAATGATAATAGTGATGGCACAAGACTGACCGAGTGGAAGCAATGGTCATTCGCAACAGTGTTTTGCGCAGATAATTACAAATTGAATGCGCTCTAATAAGAGCAAAGCATCACAAGGTGATTTGATCGGTATATTAATGTACGAATACAGCATTCGATAAATTCGCATGCAATAGAGCTATAAGATGACAGTAAATGCGTGCAATAAATATGCAAAGCAATGGAGCTAGTTGGACTTCAGATGATGCTTTGCAGCTCGCCATATGGGCGCGCTTGAACCAAAACTTCCCTTCACCATCCATATGGTAAAAGGGCATGCATCGGCGCAATGCCACTAGGGAAAAAAGGGTCAAATAACACGTGTTCAAACGTATACAAATTTTACGGGTTTGTGTTACTTTTGTGTTCTTAGCGTGCAGAACTTTGATGAAATGTGTTTTATGTGTGTTCGAAAAAGTGTTATTTGGACCTTTTTTCGCTAGTGTACTTTGGATGCATTGACACTGAGTGAGATACGCAGGCACGCTTCAGAAACCTTACGTATAACTTAAATTGACAGCAGGCGATGCGTGTCCCTGCGTTGTGTCAATATCGATGCACTGGTGTTGCTGCAGCATTACTGGGCGTTTCATCAAGTCAAAACTTTTCGGGGAAAGTGAGCAGAGTACTTTACAGTACTTGATTTTGCCAAGTACTCTGAAAGGTTGTCGATCATCGCTGCGATAATGTGCACGTAATTTCGCATCTATACTCAAGCTGCAAATGTCTTGCCATTGTGGATCGCGTTGCTTACATTTGCTTGTCGCCTATTGGCAACATTAATTGAATTATAGATGCATTCAAGTCAATGTGGTTATGGCTGTTACATCGCTCAATGTAGAGTGTGTCTCTGACATCAACAGGGAATGGCCCTCCCGGAAAGACGCCTTGGAGAGTGGCAGTAACGGAGCACGCGAGGTGCATCCCAAATACGCGCGCTCTCCGATCCATTCTTTCAAGACGAATGTAACATGTTTCGACCTAAAACAATGCTCATGTTTTCGCCGCGTTTTATATTACAAACTCAAGCACCAGTGTTTCTTGCGGAATTTACACGGTGTGCATCAATCGCCAAAGCGCATCGAATGCATTGCTGCCTGTGCTGCTAAAGCACTGGAACACTGCGCATTCGCCTTGAAGCACGTTGGAAATGAATACAAGTTACATATGTTGCACTCTCCACTTGACAAATAGTAACCCGAACCCCGCAGCGAGCCGACATAAGCATGCTGGTGCACAGTCGCATCTTTTTGCCTATTTGTCATATGATTATTTGTCATTAGTGCTGTCAGTGCCGCTGCAACATGGCGTATTCCAAACAGCCACGAATCTGGAAAAATACGCATCGACCAATAGTGCAGCAATATATTTATTTCATAAAATAGAGAATCGTACATAGAGAGAATCTAAATGTTTGGCGATAAGTGTATTGTACAATGGTGCACGACACATCACCTGTTGCGTAGCGTATCGCTATCCAAGACATCCACTGCGCGTACATTGTAAATAACTATAAGCCCTCAATAGCCCAAATCGAATATAGAATGTACCCCTGTTTTGCTTTTTCTTTTCTTGGTTCTTGAATCTCGCTATGACATGTTGAGAACGCTCTTTTGTTCGATCAGGATGAAGCACGACGTGCTGAGGGACAAAACTGCGTCCCTCAACGCCAACGATGGGTCAAGTGAGCGCACGTTCTACACTTATCGAGTGTGGCCTGACCACGGGCACGCTTTCAATCACCACACCCTTTCCAACACACACACGAACGCCTGAAATCAAAGTGCAACATAGGAATCCACCAGTGTATCAATAGGAAAGCTACTCGAAGAGTATACTGGCGTGCGGGGTGTTGAGTACGCGCACCAGGCGGCGTTGCGACATTATTACATAAATTCTCCTAATTAGGCAATGTAAAAAACAAACGAAGGAATGTATCACAATGCAAAATATTATCAAGCGCATTAAAAAGTCATTTTAGCAACATTTGTGAGTTTTCATTTCCTAAGAAAGCATTTTCTCTATTGTCAATACGCAGGAATACTGTGCCTGGAAAGGTAGCAAGCGCTCTGAAATTGTGAAGAAGAGTTGACCTGTGATGCTGATACTAAAACTGACCGACTGTAGCAAAATTGCTGTCACCAGTTGACACGGCCCTGTGTTGCAGCTCCGTTCTTGACTGAAACGCAATTGAAGGGTGGTCAGAGGTGGGCAAAGAGACAATCGGCGAATGCGGTAATATTGCGCGTGTTTAGTGCGCTGTATGATACACGTGAAAAAAATAATGGTTTATGGCGTATTGGTGCTGCCCCACCAATTTACTTATGGGATTATGCCTATAGAGTCCCAAACTGGGCGACATCGCCGAAATTTTGTTTCTGGGAAATTATGATGGTCTCCGAACCTGTCCCCGAGCCTGGCCATCGCCATTCTGATATTATATTTTATTTTCGCACTATTATTTGATATACCACCTCTTCCTTTTACTTTTTCCGTTCCAATTAAATTGCAGCTGCAACTTTTGTCCCTAGAAAACGTACCTAAGCATCTCAGATTTGCATCAAAACCTGATCAAACATTTTGATTTTGGTCTAGTTTACGCTACCAAATTTTTGAGTCAATTATATAAGTAGTCAATCCGCAGTGAGGTCTTTACAGACACCATTTCCCGAAAACACCCCCGTTTTTCAAGATGGCGGCAAAGCCGTCTCACTGGGGAAAAAAGGGCCAAATAACACGTGTTCAAACGTGTGCAAAGATCACGGTTTTGTATTGCTTTTGTGTTCTTAGCGTGCAGAGCTTTGATGAAATGTGTTTTATGTGTGTTCGAAAAAGTGTTATTTGGACCTTTTTTTTGCTAGTGTCTGTTTCCGTGCCCTGGACAATGCCACCTTGCGGTGGCCTCCACCGCGCAGAGTGACAGGAGTTGGAGGCGCGGTCCAGAAAGCAGGTTGTAGGAGAGACATAGAGGCAGAGGGCAGGTCGCCGGAACATCCCGAAAGGCGTGATCGAAGAACTCACCCTTAGATTCGCGAATTCGTGCTGAAAAATTGAGACCATGGGCAAGCAGTTCCGGAACGCGATCGACGATCTCGGGGAAATGAATTGGTCCGCGGACAGCAAGGGCTCTCTGGACGTCCTAAACCATGGCGGGACCAGTTTGCAGCGGGAGTAGGAGAGATCTTGCTGCATAACCGGCACCCAGTTCAAGGAATGGAGGTGGAGGCAAGAAACGGGCGAAGTCCCTGATCACGCCTTTTGGGACGTGCTGGCGGTCGAGCCTCCACCTTTACATGTCCGCTCTGGCCTGCTGTTCGAGGTGGATTTCGAAATACCTTCACTTTGCGTGGTGGGACTCATGGCAAGGTGGCATGGTCCACGGCCCGAAAACAGACCATCTCGGAGCCGCCTCGGACGCTTGTTGGAGTGGCATCTCTGCGAATTGAACACTTTGCCGATGAACTCAAAGCTTGGAGCACAAACTAGACTCTTGCGACAAGTATTGATGAAAATCTGATATGTTTGTTTATGTTTCGTAGGCCAGAGTTCATAACTGCAATTTAATTTGGTACCGAGGAAGTACTTCTTTGTGGCTGAATACGGGCTAAAGCTTAACGAGACCACAGAAATGGCACATGGCAATTGATTCGGAACGGCATATCTGTATCATTAGTATAGCAAACCTCAGCGTCTGTTTCCGCATCGATCTGGAAGCCAAACGCTTCTTTAGGAAAAGGCGGAGCAAGGTCTAAATGTTATCCAGTAGTTGCGTGTCAATGCGTTTTGTTATCCAAAGCACTTGTTATCCACATATTATCAGGATGTAAAAATAGTCTGTTTGCCATAGGCTGTTCCATACGCCCAAGGGCCTGTGGGAGCAGTACATAAGCTGCCCCATGGAGACAATGGACCTGGGTGGGATCAAGGTGAGTACCAGGGGGCATAAATGAACATATAGCGCATTGCTTTGTGCAAAATATGTACGGGCTCAAGCACAGCAACTGAAGGAATCGGTACGGAGCTTCCAGGGTTTAAAACATTGGGAGATGCATCATGCTTCTGCGGTGGCGGAGGAATGTTCCATATTTGCTGGTAAATGTGTTGGCTACGGTAGCACTAATTTTGATCAGACGATTGGTGGTGGTGGATTGGATGGGGGCGGAGGGACAGGCTGATGATTTCGTGCAAAAAAGTATGACAGGCAAGAGAATGGTTCCCCCTCTCCTCAGATAAATGCTCGCGGAGGAGGCTTCTCCGCCATGAAAAGCAGTCCGAAGTGCGGCGGCCTGTCGCGATTGGCACCTCCGAATGAGGGAAAGAAGTGAGAGGCAAATTGAAATACCGAAAAGCAAATTGATATATGCTGCGTACCAATACGCAGCAGCAGTGGTATACACTACGTGGCAGTACGCGATGTTTTCAGCAGCGTCATGCCCGCATAGTGCAACCTCAGTCGAAGTGCTCTGCTCGCAAGCCCGAAACCGATTTTCGTATTCCACAGGAGTGGGTGTGCAAGATGCGCCCGCGCACCATCCACGACCTGAAGCCGCTGCTGATATTGTGCCAAGGCCTGCTGAGGGATGCCGTCGAGTTTGCGTGGTCGTCGCAGAATCGACGACTCGAGGAGCTGGTCGACGTGTGGGAGCAGGAGAAGCAGATGATTGTGGAAGAGCACATGGCTGTAGTTAAGGTGCGCACCGTCGGAAACTGAGTGGGGAGTAAACCGGTGAAGGGAGTGCGGCTTGGCACCGAGCGATTTGCATGGTCGGCAGGGAGGATTCTGTGGGAACGACTGACCCCGAACACAAAGTTTAATGTAGAGTCTCGATAAATTAGCAGTGAATTGATAAAGCGCAATGACTTGCGTCATTAAGCATAACTGACTGCCGTTGAGTCTAATTACCTACAATTGAGTGTGCGTGGGTAAACTTGAATATATGAGTATAGTGACTTTGTTTTGGCCCGTGGCATCGCCATGGCGTTCTCATTCCTTGAAAATCTGTAAGGCATGAGCGCTCATAGCAAAATTGTCTGGTTGTAACTTTTAGTTCATTTGTTTCATTGCAATGGAGTCAGCACTGTCATGTGCAGCAATTTTAAACACGGAATTCGGCAAAGGGAACAAAATCATATTTCGCAAATACTTCAGCGGTGGTCGTCTCTTTTCGGTGGAATTCCGAAGCGGGACTTCGCTGCTGCTGTTTGCATTGTTGTGTCTACTTCATCTGTAACGACACCTACATTACATCAATTACCTAGATGATCTTCTGACGTTATTCACGGGAACATGGGAGCAGTTCCATGTTGGTGAATGCTTCAGCGCTACGCTTCACATTGAGCCCCCTATTAGGAAACGCTGTTGTCACAAGGCTCGGCGTTTTGCCTACTGACTGGCCCAGTCCTCGCCAGTGCCGGAAACGCATCGCCCGCCAGATGATGCGGAAGTACCCGCAGTGCCGGAGATAATGCTGATTTTCGCATTTCGTTCAGCGCGTACAGCAGTGCAATGCTATGTTGCCGCCAGGCATTGCAAGAAGAGATGCAGGATCTGATGCACGTCAACAAGGAGACGGAGTCGCAGTTGAGGATGGGGAGGGTTCTGCAGAAGACGAAAGTGTATGCGAGCAACATGAAGGTTGGCACAGGCATGGCCGAGGTCGACTGCCAATTATAGCTCCAAAAAATTTCCAGAATAAAGCTAAATGCCTTGAACAAAATACGTTCCTCGTTGCAGGGAATTTGAGATTTGATTACAGTATATATGTTTGCGCATGATTTAGTGCGCAGCAAATAGCTCCCCGTTTCTTTAGCAAATCTTTCTGGGTCTTTTAGGGCCAATATCGGATGTTTGATCACATTTTATTCGTTGATGGACGAAATTGAAAATTAAAAAGCTCATGCCCTATTTGGCCTCACTGCCTGTTGCTCGGTTGTTTCATTGTCGCGATTACCAAATAACCTGGTTTCTCTGTACGAGGCAGCTGTTTTCTTCGAAACCTCACCATTGCGTACCTTTGAAATGACATCATCTACTAATCAGCTTCATTTCCTTGCAGCAAAATTCAAAAATTCAGTATGCGCCCATTGTTCCATTGCACCAAAGGTTGGCGGCTGGCGGTGTTTGACTATTGCTTAATATTGCACTGAACCACAGTGCTAGACCCATAGCGCTGGGACCATCAATGATCGATTTAGAACGCGGTATCTGCTTGGTTTTCACGCCAGTCATCGCCTGCCAGGTGCACGGACTGTGTTTTGTCATCTTGTGACAAATTTAATCGTGTTTGACTATTGTTTAATTTTGCACTCTACCATAATGCTGGTTAGAACTGCATTTGGTATATGCATGTCTGCTTACGACTCCATTGCTGCCTTTGCTCAGGCGGCCACCCAAAAATTGAAAACCGAGGCGAAGGTGGTCGCGATTGAAAGTGAGTGTCGAGAGTCCCTATCCCCGCGGATACCAGTAAAATTTTGCTTAATTAAGCAGCACAGAAAGAACACATTGAATTAGGTAAATTCACACTGTCCAGAACATTGAGTTGATATTACAATTTAGCAAATTACTGCTGCTGTCTTTACTAGGAATTTCTAGCTTTATTCCCTTGATATAGATGAAGTGAGCTTACGACAGCATTGCAGTATTTGATTTGCAGCTGCTCTTCATTTCACTCTACGGTTTCAATCACAAATTAGTTCGTAACAAAATGAGCGCCTGCAATGCGCATTGGAGCCTTCGCTTCGCAAGACAGTGATACGAGCCAGTGAAATTTATAAGCTGTTTGTTCTAGACAAACTGCACCTAATTGGCCGACTTCGCTGGCAGGCAGCACTGCTCGCTTTCCTAGAGTTGCTTTATACAATTTCTCATGGCGGAAAAACGTCAAAGAGACAAAATATTTCATTATAGTGTGCTTTGACTTTCTGACAAATGAAATTCATGGATCTTGATGATAATGTGACGTTTGGAGCGAGTGGCTGATGCCTGGACACCATTCATGAGGGTCGTGTGCCATTGAGAAAGGTGTTGCCGTCGACGTTGCTCGGCAGCGGTGATGATGATTTGAACATCGTTGAATTGCAGAAGAGAAATCGACGAAGGAGGCAGAGCTGGGGTCGCTGAAACGGCAGTTCAACGCATTGACGATCAAATCCAAGAATGCCGAAAATGAGGTAACTAGACGACCTGGAATAAGCGCGCCATGCGTCAACTGAAATTGAATGAAGCAACTCGATTTCTCATCCAAAATAAATCAAATCATGACGGCTAATGTGTTAAATGCGTTTGCATATGGCTAAATGCGTTACTTGCTCCCAAAAAACACATTGAAAAATTGACAACTAAATACGGAAGCATTGCCGTGTTTCGAACCAAAGCTCACTTTGGTGGCAGCAACGCCGAGCGGTAACGGGACTCGTTCCGTGGTAGCACACTAAGAAAGTTATAAAACTTTGTTTTATTAGAAAATTGCACATTAAAAACAAATCTTTTTTTGTTTTTGCGAAGAACATTTTGGCGTCAGATTCCTTTCAGTGAAATATGCCGCCAGGGAAATTCTGAATCCAGAATCGCTCGGTGCATGCATTAAATAAACAATTTCGCCCTTACAATCATTAGTATCATTATTTTCTCTATAACATATCGTGATGTGAGCAAGAATGAAGCAGCAAGAATACTTTGTTACTGAGCCGTGAGCAGCTTCTCCTGCGTGCAGCTAGAGACTCTCCAGAAAGAAGCTGAACAATTGAAGGTGGGAGATGCATAATAAAATATAAAATCTATGTTTGACTGACGAAGTTATTGTAATAGAAACTTGAGAGAGCATCCCTAAACAAAGATACTATACGATGAATAATTTTCGAGCAGCAAAACGCTCTCAAGCGAATGCATCCATGCACAAGCGCGCTTCCACACTCGAGCACAATCCAGGGCAGGAACTCAAAACATTGTGGCGACTGTACGTAAAATTCATGTATATTTCGTAGGTGCGAAATATGCCATACACTTGCGTAATTATGTTTGTGCATTGCATCACTATGCTGCATACGCATGTATACTTGCCAGGACTACATCATTGAGGCTTTGCGTATTCAGGCAGAGAACGACGCCCTGAGGTCAGCCATGCAACACCCTGACATTCCGCCCGCTCCCCCAGCTCCGGTCTCCAAACAGGAACCTCAAATCAACATCTCAGAAGGGGCCGCCAAGGCGCAGACAACGCACCTCCAGCAGAATCACGGACTGGACGCAGAGAATGATTTGCTTCCTCTGCCTCTCAAAAAGCATGCAATTGGCGACGGGCCTTTGGCAAGTTCCCAGGAACTTCCGTACCGGGTCGGATCAAAACTGATCAGTGCGGAGGCTGTCGGCGATATTTGGGAGAGCTCGAGGCGGGAGAGATTCGAGTCGGAGCTCTCTGCGGCGACAACCGATGAAGACGTGTACGAGGTGAGCAATTCTTCAGATCAAGAGAAAATCCTGGGTAATGCACAGTACTTTCTTGTACTGCTTTGCCTAAGAGGTTATGGGGATTCAATTCGAGAAACGCGAAATGCAAAAGCGCGTATAGTAGTTACACTTTTGTTGCATTTTCATTTGAAGTTACGAAATACTTCCTCCGTCCAAGATTAATTGTCCTCTATTTAAAAGCTGAATTTCGTTACCTAAACCCCTTCAAAAGTAATGGTAAACGTCAGAATCGAAAAGATTGGCCCCAAAACCCTTGACTACCAATTACCCTTGAACACCCCACTACCTTTGACGGCCGCCTGAAATTGCGTAAGATTTGGCCCAAAATTGTGCATTCTGATTCGGCGTCTGTCAGGGATCCACGTGGTTCTGGGTCGTTTTCGCCCCAGGCATGCCAAACCAAAGTTGTGTTTACCATCAAGGAGAACGACAGCGCCCCTCTCGTGGCTTAGCGCTTGCCAAACACTCTCAAATGTGTCTGGATCCCCATCGAATAAGCCTGTTGTCACAGCATCGACGATGGCAGAAATCGCCGCCCTCCCGGATCTCGGGTGCAAGGACTTGCCACAAGCGGAAAAGGCGAACGCCCAACACGCTTAAGCTTGGGATCTGTGTGCGCTATCGTTCTAAGGCTGTGCTACAACTTTTCTCCAACATAGCACCTCGATTGGTCTTTGAATCGAGGCCTTCGTGTGTGGCTGGGCCCACACTTCCAAAATTGGCACTAGCGGCTAACTTGTACATGCAGTCCGCAGCCCTTCCCAATCTACATAGTATCTTCTTGTCACAGAGACATAAAATGATTTATATGACCGTTCGCTTCACGTTCCACCTTTTCAATTGTCGCGGCAAGTGTCGACTTTGCCATCCCCCAATCCAAGCCATTCACCCAATCGCCTGCGACAGATTAGGGTGATGGCCATCACATTCCTTCGCACCTCTTCAAGGGGCTTGGGAGGCCTTGCGCGGTATCTCTCACAGCAGAGATGGAGTTCAAAAGGTCACGACCCAGAAATCTGGGCCGGGAATGCAACCCCGAACTGGCCAATCGATCTCGAATTAGGTCAGCGAAGCCACGGCGACTTCCACGATCAAGCCCACCAAGACACGTTTTCTGCCGCTTTGCTTGTTCGCAGGAACCCCTCCAAGCTTCTGTACAAACGGCATGGATAGTTTTGCACGGGCGGTCTTGTTTGGCCGCTGCAAAGTCGTGCTCCTCGCCATCGCGAAAAACGGCTGTTTTGGTGACTTTGTTGAAAAACGGGTAGGTTTCTGGCGGGAGGACCCTACTACAAAGTGCTGCCAAATCCCCAATACTTAACGGATTGACCCGAAACTTTGACCTTATATTCCCGAAACATAGGCGCACCATTGGAAGAAATTTTATTGTAAAATGAATCATTTGTGATGGAGATGTGGGGCGTCAAAATCATAGAGGACAATTAATCTTGGCCGGGGTGAGTATTACAAGAAATTCAGTACATTTTGCGTGACGCATCAACAAAAACTTCTTGTCGATTTCGTTAAATCGAAAGTTTCGAGTGGGCGATGCTACTCTCGTGATATAACGTAAGTCGAAGGATGCCTATTTACCCCCGCGATGACTCTGTGCCTGCGGGAAGCTGTGGAGCGTCACGCTTTTGATTGGCTACGTGATTTTGAAGAATGAGTGGGCGGCTTTATTTGAGAGCTGCACGCACATGTGGACGTTCGCGAATTCCGCGAACTTATTACGTAACATGCTGTGAAAAATGGAATGACCATGGCTTGAGAAAATTGTTTTCAAATGTAAAAGACCGATCTTGTATATACTGATTTGCGTACAACGACGTTTTAAGGGAATCTTCTTGCGGCGTCTGTGGAATGCGAGAAAGTGAAATAACTATCACCAGTCAGTCAGCGCTTGATGGATTGGTCATTTGATTCCAATCTGAGTACTGATTTGCAGGTACTTGTAAATATAGTTGGCTGTCGATTGGGGAATTCAAGCAGGAGTGCATTTGACGTGTGCATTTCTCTTAAGAGTTCATTGGAAATTAGTAGTCCTGCGGTTGTGCGGAATTCCGCAAATTCAGCTGGAAGATCTGAAGCTGAGCTATTGGCCGACGCACTACTGGCAAATTAGATGCAACACAGAACAGAGTACTTTTGAAAATGGAGAAATGCAAGTTATGCCTCACATTTCAAAGATTATACTAAAGCTTCGCCGTAATGAATTAGTCATGAAATTGTACAGTTTCGTGTATAATTGATAACAGGCTTGGTTTTTATGTTTACGTTTACGTTTTTACTTTTACGTTTTCACGCGCAAAAACGTAAATTTGCAAAAGGGCCTATTTTACTGCTATTTTTACGTGTTTACGGCTCCCTGGGACACCCAGGTTACACGATGAAAGTTGCATATTATAATCAGTCTTCCACCACCTCTATACCCACAACATAATGCCCACCTCGCCCTTGGCAGGGGTGATAATGGCGTTTAACGAAGACTCGTTTTGTGCCCCTTCCAGAGCATCTGGCTGCCACTCTCCGGATTCCGTAAGTCTGTATGTACTGTGCTTATGTACACCAGGCGGTTTTTACGTTGTGTTTACGTATTTTTACGCATTTTTACGCGCAAAAACGTAAAAACTATTTTTACGTGTAAAAACGTAAATACGATCAGTTTTATCGGCGTAAAAACCAAGCCTGATTGATAATAAGTGCTAGTATCCGTTATTCAGTCCGTTTATCGCCTGCATTTCTCTTCCGTTGGCTTGTCGCAGGCAATGCAGGAGGCCATCGAGAGCATGTTCGATGGCGTGGACGGAACTCTGTTTATCGTAGACAGATCTTCCACGCATGGCAGCGTCGTCGCATTCATCTGCAAGAGCATCGGCAAGGGCATGCCACACACTCATGATGCGCAAGTCGCCGCTCATTACGAAAACACGGCAAGGCAGACACTGTTGACTGGTGAACCGACCTCCAAAGACGGCATCGTTTCCATTCCGGTCAAGGTGGGCTCACTGCAATGGAAACATTTCGCGCATCACGTCCTAGGATGCCAGCTGCATGGCCTGGCCACATATCCAGCACATGGCGATCATATCGCATTCGGTGTACAGAATTCTGTGAAGTACTTAGAATATCCAGTATCCAGTGGATACCGAATGTGCGTCCGAATGTATGCTGGAAGCGAGGACAGCTGTATACAGAATATGAAAATTCTTAAGAGCCATCGTCCCAAGGCAACTGAAATGAATGTAGTTATGTTTCCGATTTGCTTGGTCGATTGTGTCTAATTGAACCCACTGCACACCCCGTAGCAAAACATTTGCATCTGCTATAGAACGTGGTTTGAATCGTTCATCAAACTGGCGGTTGAAAGGAGCATGGCTTCCTCTATTATCTGCTTTACACTGCACCGTTTCTTTATCGTCAAATTCAGCATTGGACTTCCGTTGCGCGCTATGCGTCACCCGCTGTCACGCCAACATGCTTTGGATAGCAAATGAGTACCTCTCACTTCAGCGACGAGCCCCTTACCTGGACAATGCATGTGTTGAATTGCGCAGGCGTCCGACCAGGCTGCCATGGCGGTCATCTTGATCGATGCGCCGTCCTCCGCAAACTTTGATTATTCAAGCTATCAGTTTGGACAAACGATGGCGCCCAGACCAGGTAACGCCTCGCGCCACTTGGTGTCCAAAATCCGAATTTCTGACTCGCGACTTTGTGGTCCTCCAATTGTGCGTCAGAGCCTATCCGAATGGGTCAGGTTCAATCCACTCTTAGCTGTTTCGACAAAGAAAGCCATCCTATTCTCAGGCGAAAGAAGGTAAAAAGGTTTGATAGATTGCAAAATTGACAACTTCACTTTCCGTTGCAAGAAATGTCGAGGTTCCAAGGAGTTATGGTCCAGTATGGTCCAGATTTATGGAGAGTGGCAAAATCTAGCCCAGAATGAGCGGCTTCATGTTGTTAGATTCGCAAATTTGTGCAGTCGAATTTCTGACATAATTTTCAGATCAATTGATGCAGCCGATTCCTTTGATCTATTTGATCGAGCTGCTCACCGTCTCGTGCACGCAGGGTCTGTTCTGCCAACCGCAAGGACGCATTCCTCTATGTCAAACCTGTCTCGCAAGAGCGACGACAAGAGCCGCTCCAGGCGGTGGCGCGGAGGACTGGGCCCAGGGAGCTTGTGCCACACGTTGCCGGCCGCCGGCCAAGGGATTGACTGGAGATTTCCAGGGACTGTGGCGACCAGCTACGCGCAAGCGCCGTTAACTGGAGGCGAGTATGGGGATCATGAGGCTGGTCATTTTGTCAAAAACACACACGAATTAGAGATCAATTACAGAACTAGCTGCTGTAGCGCCGTCTGTGATTTCTGTTGCTCGCAAGCTCGTAATTTTTGAGCGCATTGCCATGCTGCGGAAGGGCCTGTATATTGCGCCGTTCTCTTGATGGATTGCTGGGACACTTGTGTGGAACGTTGTTGGATTGTGCGTCGCGTCGCAAGGCGGAGGGAAGATGCTATCCCGACTAAATTCTTTTTTTCAGTGCGTTGCTCAAAACATTTCCCTCGCAAACGTGTTGCATTCGCTGTTGTAATCCTTATTATCATCGCGTGACTCTTATTCTGTTTAGTTACACTTTATAACGGTAATTGCAACTACAACAGCAATCATTAATATCACTAGTGCCATATTTATTTATATATTTGTGTTTCTTTTTTGATGCCAATATTGCCGCCATCGCTCATCATCAGCGCCAACGCAGCATGCGTGCACAACTGCGTCCCAAACTCGCACTCGAGAGGGCACAAGACTTGGACTCACGCTTGGGACAAAGGATATTTACGGTATTCACGGTATTTGCAGCACTCTCTTGTACCCCTCCTCCTGGAAAGGGTGTGTTGGCAATACGGTGCAGGCTTTCCCGTGCCGACCATATCTTCAGCCGCCCGCGTGGAGGCCGCCAAGGCGCTGATCCCCTCCCAAATGCGCAAGCTCCAATTCGAGGGCGTCGTGGAGTCGGACGACTCCACCCCAGGAGGCTTCGTCACCGCCTCCAAGCTGGTGGTCGACGCGGACGGCCACCTGGTCGGCAGGATGAAAAACAACAACGAAATCCTGCCCATGGGGAGGGGCCCGGCGAAACGGGTGAAATTCGTGAGCGCCGAGGTGATTCGAGACGGCCAAGGGTACCCAACGGGGTACCGCAAGGACGGCCGCGTTTTGGCCGTGTCGGGCCAGGAACTGGGAGTTTCCGTGATTCCGAAATGTCCCTACAGGAGCGAAAATTCTGTTAAGGGGATGGCCGCCGAGTTGACCAAGAGCAGGCTGAGTGGGTTGCTGTTCCCGGCCGATGGGCGCTCGGGGGCGGGGACTCCGCCTAGGGCTGACCTCGAGCGGGTGAGGTTCAGGGGAGTCATGCGCTCCACCGAGGACGGCGCCATCCAGGGCTACGTGACGAAGGAGAATTTCGCCCTCTCGCCTGGGGGCCACATCGCCGGGGTGCTCAAGGAAGGGGGGGAGCTTCTAAACCTCGAGGGGCAGCCGGTGACGGGGGTGTCTTTTGAGGAAGCCAGGGTTTGTTGCGACGACAACAGCAGGCCCATTGGCGTCGCGAGAGATGATGGCGTTGTGGTGGCGGCATCCGGAAAGAGGGTGGGCAGCGTTGACGAAGACGGCAGAGTCGTGAGCGGGGAAGGGGAAGTTGTGGGGCGCGTGGACGGCGGCGCAGGCGTCCCGGGCATGTTCGTGGCGGACATGGAGTCGGCGAAGCTCACGGGGGTGGTAAAGACCCTGGACGGGAGGGCGGTTGGCTACGCAATGGCGGGAAACCTGATCGTTAAGCCTGATGGGGAGATTCTGGGATCGGTGGACAGGGAGGGGACGCTGTTGGATTGGTACGGGGACAGGCACGAGGGGGTTGAGGTGGTGATGACAAGCGTGGTGCACTCTGCGGAGGGGGCGCCCCTGGGGTACGCGGACAGCCTGGGGAGGGCCTTCAGCATGTCTGGGCGTCAGATAGGCGTGGAGGACGAGGGGAGGGTCATAGGGTACGACGGGGAGGTGGTGGGCTGGATGGCCGCCGACACGGCTCCGAAACCTCCCATCGCGGAACAGGTATGCCATGGTATCACTACCAAAAACATCATTCTTGAGATGCCAACTGCTACGCCATTTTGACACAAAGTGGCGCCATCGGAGTGACTGCGACGGAGCTAAGGCAGGTGCGATGGCATCAATTAGTGTCAAACGGCACCGCATTTGGCACCGCAACAGTGTCGATGTCTGCTTGTGTATTCTACGGCTGTACCCTTCCGAGGTTGGGCGCGCGGGTGTTCACCAACTGGGGATTGACCCACTTGCCCAGCAGTGCGGACTCTCATCGACCTCTGTGCGCCTTCGCGGAACAGGTGAAGCTGGGCGTCGGCGTGGCCAACTTCAGCCACATCGTCCAGGCACCCGGGGGCGTCACGGTGGGCTTTGTGACCGACGACAACGTGGCCGTAAGTCCAGAGGGACGGTTCCTCGGGCACGTGAACGAGAAAGGCGAGTTGACCTCCACAGCGCACGTGGACTTCGAGCCCGAAATAGTGCAAGTCGCGTCGGCGCTCTGGTCAGAGGAAAGCCAGCCCATCGGCCACCTCGATTTCAACGGGGCCGCCTACAACTTGAGCGGAGAGAGGGTGGGAAGGAGGCTGGAGAACGGGGCCGTGCTGGACGACAGCGGCAACGTCGCCGGTTGGGCCCAGCCCCCCGCCCTCGCAGGACAGCGCGTTCCGGAAATTGGCGACGAAGCGACGCCGAAATGGGAGATGGTTCCAGGATTGGTTTCGGACTTTTCCGGAAACATCATTGGTCTGTGCGGGGCGGACAGGGAGGCCGTGGATAACGAAGGCAACAAGCTTGGTCTGGTGCAGCCCGACGGGACCGTCATGGACGACGACGACGTGCCCGTGGGCATGTACCTGGAGATCAAGCCCGTGCTGGATTCAGAGAAGGGGGTCTGCGGCTACGAGCTTGCGGACGGGCGCAGGCTGGACGGGGTCGAGGTGCGGCGACTCTCGACGAGATTGACTCAGGACACGGATTTGGGGGACTTTGATGTTGCCGAGTTGGCTCGAGAGGGGACCTTTCACTGGAGGGGGGGTGGGGTGGGGGAAGCTGGGTCGGACGGGGGGGTGGAGGGGGGTGTCCGCTGGGGCGAGGCGGAGGTCGATGGGGAAAAGCAGGCGCTGGAACGACTTTCGGAGTTGTTGCCGGGAGAGGGCGCGGAAGGATTCGGGGGAGAGCGGCTGGCGTTGGACGTGGGAGGTGTGCGTGGGAAGAGCTCGAGCGTGGCCGAGGTAACCGAACGATCGTGATCACCAGCCGTGGCAGAAAACACCATTGCCATTATTGCCATTCTTGCCATTCTTGCGATGCCAGCAGCGACGCCATTTGACATTAACACTAGTAAAGAAGAGGCCAGATGACACAGTCCTTACACGGTCTGCTGAAGATCCAACTGTGTACTTTCGGCAAATGTGGTCCAAAACTATACAATTAGTACACACATTGACACAGTTTTGACCGTCACGGTCAAGGTCCAGGATATACGGTGTATCCTAGGAAATCGTGTAGTCTACACAGTTGTTTGAGGGTACGCGGTTGAAACTGTGTCAGTGCATGCACTAACTGTGTTGTTTTGGGAGCACATTTGCCAAAAGTGCATAGTTGGATTTTGAACAGACCGTGTCAAGACTGTGTCATCTGGTCTGCTTTTTCCTAGCATAACCGGCACCATCACAGTGACTGCGATGGCATCAACTAGTGTTAATGGCGTCGTGATTGGCACCTCAGAATGCCGTCTTCTACTGGTGCAGGGCGTGGTGCAGTTGATGAATATCCACAATTAATTGTGATACAGATCATGATCTGTTGCGAATGATTGCATTCGAGGCGGATGGAAAGACGGACCCAATTGACAAGCCACCTCAATTCCAACCACATTGCAACGCTGTTGGTGCAACGCCATCAACACTATGAATGCACCAATGCCACCGACAGATTGGTTACTATAATTGCCACTGACATCACCAATACCGCAAATTTTCACTGCGGTTTCCATCGCTATTGTTTATTGGTAATAATAGGCAATTGAAGGGCGAAGTTAAAACCAAGAATAACAAAAAGCAACAACGCTATGATAGCGCATCTCATATCATTGCATGCTGCTCTGACTCCCGTTGGCCATCCCGTCATTGCTTAACAGCAACACATTGCGGTCGTGTGGTCTTCTGGCAGGACGCCACCGACAGGGTGCTGACCGGAATGAGGGGCCGGCCCATAGGCAGAGTGGCGTCCAACGGTGAAGTCGTCGACCTTCGCGGCAAAGTCGTGGGCCGATTGGAGGCTGAGCCGCTGTCGTCGCACGGCGCGGCCGCAAAGCGTTCTAATGAAGGCGCTCTGAAGAAAGTGGCCAACGTGGCGGTGCAGGTACAAATCCACTGCATGACTCATGAAGACTGCGCGATTCACACCATTATCACGCTACTATCCCTATCAGCGCCTTATCATCGGGAAGACTGGTACAACAAAGCATTGCAATGCATTGAGGCTTGCATTACTAACAACGTGTATCTTTGCCCGCGCCAATTCCCCCCAAACGCTTCTGAGGCACAGCAAGATTATAGGCACTCGCCGTGGGGATTTCGGTGGAAACTCTGTTTCAGGAAAAGGATGGATATAGGCCCAGAACATTGCGGTTCCTGTTGTATCGCTTTCTCTGAAAGGGTGTCTGGGAGGCAATAATGGTGGCCGAGTTGGTAGTGATGGCAGATACAGGTGACAGAATCGAGCAGGTTAACGCGGTATAAAACTGGGGATGGAGATTGCAAAGGTTGTGGCAGTAGAATCAGCGAAAGTTTGAATTGGAGCAAGACTATTGCAACCGTATGTTCCCATCTCCTGGGATCACAGCGCTTGCTTTTAGAAACCAGCACGTGCGCTTTTCGACCACACATAAACACCAATATTAATAGACTTGTAAAAAAAGGATACATGCGAAATTTCGACTACGTACAATGTCAAATTTGCAAAATTCAGATCAAAAAATTATTATCTCATGTTTCAGTCACAAACTCGCACTCGAGAGCTTGCTGAGAGGGTTGGGCGCGCCTCGCAGACGCCTTCTACTTGGCTCTCTCCCCAGCGCACTGTTTCAGATGCATCTTCCCTCGGCGCGTATTCTATGGCGCGGAGCATGAGCAACAGCGCCGCCCTGCAGCACTTGGCGGGCCTGGTGTCTCGGAGGATGGATGGCATACAGGAGGAGGAGGATCCAGAGATGCAGGTATTCCACAGAACGCGTAAATTTCATGTCTTATTTCAAAATATTACATCATGTTCCACTGTTCCAAAACGCAATAATAGATTTGATACATTTTTGCAATAAATCGAAGCATCGAATTGCAGATGCGGTTGGGATTCCGCAACAAACTTCGCTGCAGCTTGACTGCTAGTTGGTTGTGAATTGCCACTAATGTCGTTTTTGAATCTTCTTGAGCGTAGTTGAAAGGATAACAAAAACCAACCAGTGATTGTCTGAGCCACTCAATCGACGTATGGACTAACGCAAGGCTGAATTTATCAATGAATCAGGTCTTAAGCCAGAAAGATATATCAACGCGTTGGGCTTCTGCAGAGAATATTAGAGGTGCTATTTGCATGCATTTGCTGTTCATGCTCCAACAGCGTTGACGTGCTTGGAATGAAGTTAGAGGGAGTAATGTTCATTATCACCATTGTCTTTTTTACAGAACAAGGCAATGAGATAGCCGTCAGCTTCCATCTTGGACTAATGTGCACTGCCCCATGTGCTGTCCCTCACCCACTGATCCCATATCTATCGCATTGGCAAATGATTCATCTACCATTCGTACTCACTTCAGTTACATGGATTTCTTTCCCTATCTCATACCCGTTTACTCACCAATCACTCCGCTACTTGAGATAAATCCACTGTCTTGTTTCGAGACTCTGGAAGCCGAATTGGAAACATTAATGAAGACGACCAAGAAAATTACGTTCAGGGACGCCGGGCTCGCTGCGATGTTTTTGAACAAGTTTCCAGCGAATGCCGATCGAGAGAAGGAGATTGAAAAGCACAAAGAGGTGAGGAAACAAGCCGAACGCGGAACCAGCATGTCAACGCGCGATTATCAATTATTAATGACAAACGCCATATAAAACGTGAGAAAATGGAGTCGCTATCGAGCATCAGAATCACAGAAAATAATCGAAGAAAAGTATGGGTTAAGGTTCCGTCATAACTGATGTTATCTGCAATGAATCCTTTGTCGATTTTCAGGTGGCGCGTTGGAATTTTATTGATGCTTTGAACGACAAAACGTGGATTGCTTTACAAAAAACTGTTGCGGCATACCTGTCAGCGACCAACAGTCAAAGAACTATTGCGCCGGTGGCTTCAATATCCATCGATTCACGTGCGCGTTCTTATGTATCTTCCATGCGTGTACAGAAAAATCCATCTACTATTCATACAGATCTGAATGCAGTAATACATCGCACAATCATAGACCATACATGTATGTATGCATCACAAGCACCGGTACATGCACGGGTGCACGATGTGATAGGAAAACAGATGGATCATGCGAAGATGTGCAGATCATAGATGTCAGACAGATACGTATATGTACGTATCCACAGGGACATCCCCTGTGGGCGTAACTTCTATAAGTCGCATTGCTTATGGGCTTGCTTTCAACGACAGGACATGGGCCAAATGGTCCAAATGGGGGGAAAGATCGTCGCCAAGATGAGCAGCAGCACCGTCTCAAAGTCTTTCAATGAGCTGAAGACCTACCGGCGGCCCCCCAGAATAGCGGCGATCGTCGTCACAGGGGTCATGGTCCTCCTCAAGGTATTGATTCACATGTATCCAAATCTGCCTTCACTGAATGAGCGTTGAAGATTTTTTAACAGTCTTTAAATATTTGAAATATTTTTGAAATTTACTTAACATCATCTTCTTTGAGTAATATCATGTCTTTTATATGTTTCTTAAAATCTCCAAACTGGCTTTTAAAACATTTTCTGCATTCCTTGTCAATCAACAGTAGCCGATGTGCTTTTCTGAAGTGAGGGACTCCAAGCTCAATCAAATACATATGGTCTGTCGGTGCCCTCACATAATGGCATTAAATTTGACACCATTGCACACATCGAAGTGCACAAAATATGTATTATTCAAATCCAAATAGGTACCAAGGAGATCGCTGGTAATATCTGCGACTGACTTATATAAAGGAGCGCAATTCATCACCATTATAGGAAAATGGCTGCCAAGCACATGATCCTGACGCAGCCCGCCGCTTCGACAACGATAAAAAATAAAAGTTGAGCTGATAACACATAGATAAATTATGCATCAAAATGAGGCAAGGATATGGAGATTCATAATTTTTTGTGGAATTCAGCCACAAGAAATAGGGCAGCAAATAAAAAGGAGGCAAGCCTGTACGACAGGGACAGATATAATTCGACGTGAATTACGTCGCATCACAAGGAAGTCCACGGCATCAGCAAATTGCTGATGCGTTGTCACAACGCGCAGCGATCCAAAATGATTGGATTAAATAACTAATTATATTAAGCAGTAATATTAACAATAATAGATTATATTAATGACTAATTGAATAATCGAAGATCGCTGTATCGTAAGGCGTTGGACATTGAATTCGCCCGTCGCAGGACAAATCTTGCGATAAACTGCTGGAGGACGCCCTGGAGGGGCGTCCCTATCCCTCCAACCCCAACTTCCTGGCATGTATCTGGAAGGACATGCAGCACCAGATGGACATCGAGCTTCCGCAGCGCATGACGGCCTACGACAGCGCGACGCTCGATGACGACACTCGCAGGCGCTGCAACGCGGTGCAGTACATAATCGACCAGGTGGGGGGGACGCCGGCATCGCGTGTCCGCTGTCTGCGCTGATGCATCACCGAGCGCAAGTGCTTGCTGCTGCATCATATCGTCACTAAATATGCCCGGGATTCTCAAACCAGACAAGTATTCTACATTTTGGCCAAGATCAATGCAGGGACCAGCGCTTTACCGTACCTGATCGTATTTAACTTTTGAATTTTCGTAATGTAAATAAAAGGTGTCAATGCGTAAATACATAAGTGCTATTTGTGTACTTAGAAATGTCAAAATTATGTTACATATGAGTAAGAACATAAATAATATTTGAGTCTTCATGCATAACACCAGGCTTGGTTTTTGCGTTTACGTTTGCGTTTTCACTTTTACGTTTTTACGCGTAAAAACGTAAATTTGCAAAAGAGCCTATTTTTACGGCTATTTTTACGTTTTTACGGCTCCCTGGCACGCGCAGGTTACACGATGAAAGTTGCGTACAATGACCAGTCGTCCGCCACCTCCAGCACCCGCAACATAATGTCCACCTCGCCCTTGGCAGAGGCGATAATGGCTTTAACTCGTTTTCTGCCTCTCCCAAGGCTTCTGGCTGCCACTCTCCGGACTCTGTAAATATGTATGTACTGTCCTTATGTACACCAGGCAGTTTTTACGTTGTATTTACGTATTTTTACGCATTTTTATGCGTAAAAACGTAAAAACTATTTTTACCCGTAAAAACGTAAATACGATCAGTTTTTGCGGCGTAAAAACTAAGCCTGCATAACATGTATATGCAATGCACATTTATGATACACGTATTTATACGTATGTATACGTAGATACATGTACATACGGTCAAGGCGCGGGGGGCATTTCATGGTCTACCGCGAGTCGCGCGCTGGTTACGGAAAACCGTCTATCTGAATCTCGCCGGGGCCATCTGGTGGCTTTGTATTTCGGACGAGCTGCTCCGCATTCTAGCATCGGTAGCTCGCATATTGCAGGACTTGCATATATAGCGCCCTTTTCCATATTTCAAAAATTAGACATGTTGCAAAAGATAATTGGCCTGTTTAGTGCGGATAAACGTTTTTCAGTGGGATATAAGAATGCCGTCTTTTGAGGTAAGCGAGTCCCCTAAGATCGAGTATTTTATCTGCGCAAAGTGAAGATAGATGGGCGCACCTGCATGCCAACTGACGCAGTGATTTGCGCAATCTCAAACATGGAGCAACGCTGGGCGGTGGCGCGCGTTATGTATCGTAGATGGCGTCATCATTCGACCTTATTCGAGTTTTGTGAGACAAGAAACTATCCATGCATTCGTATTGTGTGCTCTTGGAGTTGGTTCTGCGTTGGCAGGTAGGCGGATTCACGAGGAATGCAAATTCGCGAATTTTCAGGGTGTATCATCGTATATATTTTGTATGTTTATGCATTATTGGTATGTTGATATCCATTGTATGTATTGCTATGTGCATTGTGTATGCATTCGCTGATGTATTGTTTGTATTGGAATGCATTATAACACTTAAGATTTCTAGATGGCGATGATAAACTTGCGAATGAACGGCGGGTCCATGGACATGCAGATCACAGCGAAGCAGGCGCTTCACGCCTCGAGGGCCATCGCACTCATGAGGCAGTGGGTGATACTCATGCTCCACATACACGAGACCGCGAGGGAATTCGAGGAGAAATGGGCCCAAATGGGTGCAGAATGAACTTATTGTGAAAAGCATATCGTTCCGATCGACGGAACTCGCATGGGAAACCACTTTGTCCCTGCAGTGGGCTGATGGCATTCTGCAATTTAAGCACGGCCAAACTGTCAAGCTGCTGTCAACTGGGGACCCGCCGAGAACCGAACGTGGCCGGAGTGATGTGCGATGTTTATAAATTAGCCAACTTCTTGGAGATTGGCGATTTTGCGTTCAGCATAGATCCTGACTGACCGTATGTTTGGATCGATATTTCCATTCGATGGGTCCCACAGGACATCTTTGGGGAGTCGGCATCGCGAATGCCCTGCAAATCTCAATTCGATCGATTGTGGATCTGTGCAATCCTGGCCAAAGTGCTGGCAATATTCGTGTTGTTCTAGATCTGGAGAGAAGCCAGCTGCTGGAAAAAAATGATGGGTGTAAATTCATAAATGCTCAATTTGCACAAGCGTCCACTTGTTTAAACTTTCCTGGCTGGTCGCTTCATTCAGAGTTCTGGGGGTGGAGGGGATCAGTGGTACTATTAGAATAGCAATCTATCAAGTGACACAACGAAGTACCTAAAAGTACCGAGTCGCATGCCGCCTTACCCAAGACATTATGGTGTACAACTCCACGGTTGAAAGGTGGGGGACGATTCATGCAGTAGTGCAATGGCGGGCGAGGTCTAAGGCCACACGCATAGACCAATTTCTGAAACGATTTGTTTCACATACATTTCTCAGCGAATTGGCAGCCAGTGTTTCCGTGTTGATTGCTTGCGCATATGCAACTTGTTTTATGAAACTGCCCTTCACTTTTCATTCGTACAAACAATAAAATTCCAAGAACTCTATGTTGGAAACCAAGGGCAAATCCGACAGGACTGCATCGTCTGCAAGCAGCTACAACCCCCCCCCCCCCCCCCCCGAAAGTTGCTGTAACCCTGATGCCAACCATGCACGAATTTTGCGTCCCTGCACCTGTATTAGCAGAAAGTTTCTGTTGACAACACATGAGTAACCCCCAGCCCCCAACCCCCCTCCACAAGACAAAGAGCCGAAATTGAGATATTAGAGATGCCCTCGCCAAGGTTTTGCCGAAGGATTGATTTCTGAGATTCCAGCCATATTCGTGCGAGGCCTCTTAGGCAGAAGAGAGTGCAGGAAACGGCAAGTTCATGGCACTTTCTCCAAAGGATGATAGCCCCTGCGCTACGCGGAACCAACAGCGGACGAATATGTAGGCCTAGCGGAGGGACCGGGGGAAGGGGTAAGGGGGAAATGCTCTGGCATGTCACAGTGAACAACCCTTGATGGATGCCGCGAGCCGGATGTCTGAAGAATAGGTTCCGAATAAAGGAACACAATTGAGTATATTCCGAGAAACAATTGTTGCCAGAATTTTCCAATTCGCGGCACGTGCAGCTCCGCCAAGTAGCCGAAGCAGCAAGGCAGCGGGGTGGCCCGAGCGTCCCGCGGCGATGGGAGGCACCATCTGGAAGGAGCTCACGTACAGAAACTCATTGTATGCTGTATGAAGGGCGCAGGGACGTACAAGGAGCGTGCGCTTCCACGAGAGGGGCTGCTGTAATCAACACTATTTTGGCAATTCAAAGCTGTATTCTGGCACCTTTTAGGCGATGGCGAGCGTGCACACATTCAAGAATGTCTTTTCATGTCCCGCATTCATTCATTTCATAGGTTCACCAAACGCTTGATCGGGTATTGCTACGTGATCGATGTCGCGAGCCTGGTGAAACGGGTACGCCACGGGGAAGCGTCCATCATGCACACGATCCGATCGATGGAGACCCAAAATGCAAGCCAGCCAGTAGATGGGCTCTCCGCCTCGACAACAAAAGACGTTAAATCACTAATTTTTACATCAACTACCCAGAGAACTCGTTAATAAATAAAACTCAAAGAATTCACTGAAGAGAAGACAGGCAGCAACTGGGTACTGTCACAATGCCCCTGCTTCCCTTCAACTACGTCAACAGAACGCCGCTAGGCTCGACTCTAGCTGCAATCCAGCCAAAACACTCGAAAATTTTGCGAGCAACTGCTGGAATCTGGCGGAAATCCAGTTGGAAAGTTCACAAAGCCATCAAGAAGGTAGTAGCCGGGACTGTTCCAGGTGAATCCAATCCCCATGAATCAGACGAAAATGGGCACCCACTGGTAGAAAACAGCATGTCTGTGACTCCAACTGCGATGCTATTTTGACAGAAAATGACGCCTTCAAAGTGATTGCGATGGCATAAAAGTGGCTGTGATGGCATCAATTTGTGTCAAATGGCATCGCAATTAGCATCGCAGACAGGCTGTTTTCTACTGGTGGCCCCTTACCCGGTAACATCCAGATGGCAAGCTGCACACTCACCTGTAATTTGGCGATGCACGGCAAAGAAATTTACCACGCAGCCTCGTCGCTGAGCACTATGGCGTAGTGCATCCTTTCAGTGAGTAGCGGCGAAATGCAGCACTATAGTGTACAAAGCGTCGTGCCACGTTTACCAAAACAATGTATTATACGCATGTGTGAAGACTCCCCACGGACGCGCACCAAAAACCCCCCGATGTCAACAGCAGTGCGAGAACTCTCCAACACAGTTTCTCAACATCCCAGAGATCTCGCGGCCTCCGGCGAGCGACACTGAACACCCAAAGCAGACGCCAAGTCTCAGCGTCGGATCATCGCCACGATTCAACACCACCACATCGCCGCCCTCATCGAAATAGCGACACGCAAATCGAAACTTGAGCCCCAGAAAACTGCGCCCCGACCCGCTAGGCCTTGGCCTCGGCTCTGTACTCTGCAGTCTCGGTTCGGGGTCCAAACTCTCGCCACCGGGCGCGCCCATCCCCCGGCCGATGCTCAATCCGTCACCTGCAAAGCTCCGGCGTCGTCGACAGTATACCCCACCGTCCCCTTCTCGTCCATCCAGTCCACCAAGCTCGCCACGACGTTGTACGCCGCCCCGTCGACAACGGCAATGATCAGCGAGACCACCAGCGCCAGGAACTGGTGCCCAGTCGCTCCGGACTCTCCGTCGGCCAGCAGCACAACCGCCGCCGCGACACCTCCCAGTATCGCCGGCATGCCGTGCAGGTTGTGGACGCCGCAGGTGTCCCTTAGGCCCAGCGCCTTCTCCAGCGAGGGGAACACGTTCTGGAAGCCCACGACGCTGAGCACGCCCGCCAGCATGCCAGTGGTCAAGCCGCCTCCATGAGTGGCCGCCTCGAGGTCCGCTCTAGAGCCAATGGCGGCGCCGCCCGCCAGGGTGGCGTTCTGGATGTGGAACATGTCGAATTTTCCGACCAAGAGGGTGGGCGTTAGAAAGGTGGACATGCAGCCGCGGACAGAGACGCGACCGTGTTGACAATGGCAGCGGTGCCCCCTGCCCGCGAGCGAGGCGTCGAGGCTGGGCCAGAAGATCCACAAGAAGATGGTGTGAAGTAAAGTACGGTGTGCATGGCACTGGTCATCATCATCATCATCATTCTCACATAACAAAGAAATACGGCAACCTCTAAAGCGTAGCATCAGCAGGAGCCATACAGGGGCAGCAGCAATCGATGTCAGAAAGCGGAAAACAGCGAATTACAGCCGCTGAAGTGGATTCATTCGACTTATGCAACAAAAATGCACAGTAGCAACGTACAAAATCACCCGGAAATGTCAATAATACAAATCGTGTGCTGCGGTGAAATTGTCATGGCTCGCAGACCGAACGGACGGCCTGGCCACAAAGGGACATCGCTGCATGGAATCCGTCTGCCATTCAGCTGCCAACAGCCGGTTCCCAGACTGCCACCACCTGACAGCTTACCTGGCGGGGAACGAGCCAGCAGGCTTGTTCGTTACGGCGTTAACCCACAGGGTGTATTTACGCGCACTTACGTAGAATGGCATAAACATACGTAAGTCCAGGCTGCACACTGTAAACAGGCTGTGTTTACGCTGCAAAATACAGGCCTGGCAGTCAGCGACCCAACATCACAAAACCAGCGCCCCTCTCCGAAAGAAACTAGCAGTAACAAATAGCCCTTAGCCCCCGCTTCGCTCCAAAAGAAAGTACCGGAAACACAGCATCACACCTTCCCTCCAAAGAAACAGTACCGAAGAACAGCACCACACCCGCGCACTCATCCGGAGAAAACAGTATAAGAAACAACGCCCACCCCAGCTCCCTCCAAAGAGAAAGTGCACCAAATCTCGGCTTCCCTCAAGAGAAGACAGCACTGATAAACAGCACAAACCCACCGCGCAGATGAAAAAAGGAAAACAGTACTGAAAACAAAGAAAAACAGTGCTGAAAAAACAGCGCCGACTCCCGCTTCCCTCAAACTCCCGCCCCGCCTGTACTTCACCCCCCACCCCCCACCTGTCCCCACACACTGTTCCCCTCCAAAACACGCCGGCCCCGCCACAGCACGAACCACCTCCCCCTCCCCGCTTCTTCCTTGTGGGAGGATCTCCCAACCCCCCTCGATCCAAACGACCCCGACCGATCGAGCTGCATCCCGCCGGGCGAAAATCTCAGCCGCCTGCGCCGATGGTCGCCAAGCGCAGCCCATGCGGCATGCCGCTGGCGGCCGCGGCGGCCTTCGCGATGATCGTCGCGGCGGCGGCGGCGGAAGGTGGATGGGCGCCGGAGTCGTTCCCGGACCCTCAGAAGGATTTTCGAGCGTGCGGGAGGGATGTGGGAAGCTGGGTGTGCGACCCGGACGGCGTGCTGGGGAGGAAGGGCGGGAACTTGCTCGAAGGGAGGATTCGGGCGATCGCGGCGGGCGAGGGGGCGGCCGGGGAGTCTCCATGTGGAGCGGGGGAGTACCCCGGATTCCAGGTGAGGAGGGTTGAGTTTTGTTGCGATCGTTGACGACCGGGTTATACAAAGATGCACTTGCCACCAAAGAGAAAGAGAAATAGGTCATACATTGGGGCACCCCCTCCTGAGCAATCCTGAGCCCCTTCCTGGCTCGGAGGAGTACCCGGGCCTCCAGGTGAGAAGGGGCGAGGTTTGTTGCAAGAAAAAGGGAAGCAGGAAATGTGAAGCTGAGTCTTGGGGTACACTTGTCACCAAGACACACATTGCCTCAGGATACATTTGTCACAAAGAGAGAGAGACACAGGCCGTACAAGGCTGTGTTTTGCGTAGGGATGTGATGGTTACAAAGAGTTGCATTGCCTCGGGATACATATGTGACAAAGAGAAAGAGAAACAGGTCGTACAAAGGGCACCCCGTGTGGGGGTGGGGTTGATGAGATTGTTGCAAGACCGAATTTGGGTAAGGAGGTGGTGAGTTGGGGTAAGATTGTTTTAAGACAGAATTTCAGTTAGAAGGGTTGGGGTGGGTAGGATTGTTGCGGGACAGTATTCAAGTGACAAGGGGGTGGGTTGGGTAAGGTTTGTTGCAAAAGAGGAGGAGAAAAGTTCTTGCAGCCCCTCCTGAACATAGCTGTAGTGCGCCGGTGATCCCTCTGCGCCGTGAAAAAAGACCAATTCTGTAAGTGTTATGGAAACGACGATAAGGTTTGAGGCTTTTGGGAGGTTTGGCAGCAAGCCTGAGGCAAAACGGGCCAAATATGAATCAGAGAACAGAGAAGAGGGGAGAGACTGTTGCAAGCCGAAATCCCCAGGCATGGGTCCCAGTTTTTGTCCACCGTTGGGGAGATTCAGCAGGAGGCCCAAAGGAAAACCTGGCAGATACAAATGAAAGTAAGGAAGGGGGAGAGGTGGGGGGAAGGGGGAGGGGTGTCCTTATTGAAAGGGGGAGGACGAAGGGGTCAGACAAAGGGGGTGGGTGGGTAGGGCGTCCCTTGTTTGGGAAGCGCGTACTGGGCTGTGGGCTGTGTGCCGTGGTTTGGAAAACCGATGTCGGGACTCCTGGTGCGAGGAGAGGGCTCCACAGCACAAGCACCACGGAGGGCATAGGGGATATGGGGGGAGGAGGAAACGCCACGGACAGCATAGGGTGGGTGCGAGGAAGGAAACACCACTGAGAGCGCAGGGGGTAGGAGGGCGATGGGGACGAGGCTCTGGCCGGCCGGAATGAAAGTACGGCGAGGCGAAGGGCGGCTCCCCGCTGAGCGAGGCGCCATTCGCGGGAGGAGGTGCATCCAGGCTCCCAATTCGCGCGTTCGAATTCGCTCTTGAGATGCCGGGCTAATGAGTTTGGTGGCGATCCACGCCGCATCGTGGGGGGAGCTCTCAGGCCGTGGCCGCGATGGGCGGCGGCCGCAACCGCGCGATCGTCGCCGTGGATGTCGCCGGTCGGCCAGCGAGCCGAGCGTCGAGCACGCAAAGGGTTGCCCTCCGCATCGCGCCGGCAGAACTCAGCACGCGTCCCGCGACGAAACTCTCGGGCGTGCACGCCGCTCTTGTTACTTTTGTGTGTGTGTGTGTGGGGGGGGGGGGCGAGACGTCCCGCGCAGCTGTGGCTTCATTGGTTGTCCATGCTGGAGGCAGCGACCGACCCGAAATCGACACGGCCGCGTGGCGGGAGTCTCCGGCGTTTGCGCCTTCTTGGCGGCGGGGCGCCCGATGCCCGTGCCCTCGCAAGACTTCGAAATTCGGGCGCGCACGCTTGCCTCTCGCGCCCGCGCGCCTGCCTTGAGGCGCGGCACGTCGCCTTGGACTGATCGACTGGGTGCGCGGGAGAATCGCGAGGAGGGTTCCCACGTCGGCCCTCCCCATTTGCCATGTTGTTGATATTGATTTTTTATATTTATTTTTTAAGTTTTGCGCTCCCTTATATATTTGTGTGTGGTGCCGTCTCATCGCCTGCCCTCTCGATCCCGCGCCGAGCAGCTGCGCTCGGGGAGAAGAGAGAGCGTCCTGTGTCACCCCTTTCTGGGGAGTTGCATTGTGGGCTTGCCCTGCCACACTGTGGCAGACGATGGGTGTGTGTGGGCAAGCACAGCAGGGATAGCACACACCACACAGGCTCCAGGAGCCTCAGTGCTTCTTGGGCTTTTGCTGTACTGTTGTCTGCCCCCCCTGCTGCAATAATTGCCGATGCTGCCCTCACACTGTGACGCAGCCACATCCATGCTTCAGCCGGTGCTCGTCTTCACTGTCTCAGGCTCGGCATGCGGCTGGTGCCCCTGTGAGCCTCAAACATGTGTTTGTCAATAGGTGGCACCCATTGCATGTTTTCATGTACCACAGACGCTTGCTGCCACTGGTGTCGATGTTTGTCGATAGCCAATTATTTGGCTTGAAGGGATGCTTTGTCACAATGCTCAGGACCTGTCCCTGTTGTGAGGACAGTTGACACTGTTCACACTGATTTTGCGGGTGTGCAGTGGTGGTGCTTTGTTGTGAGGTCCGAACTGCCCTCACACGGTCTTATAGTGAACGATTATGGGAACAGGTTTGGGACAGGATTAGCGGCTGTTGATGGACACATTTGAAGCTCTTTTGGAATGACGCAAAGCCACTGCAATGTCTTTTGTTCACATAGTCTGACTCAGTATCCAATGTATTGTTGGATAATGTCTGACATAGTCAGACACAGGCACAGTCAGTGTCTGACATATCAGTGTTGATTGCAAGCACAATAATGCACACAGCTGCATAGACCAAAACTGGCTGTTCGCTGCATTGCTTGGGCAGGCACGTTGGTGGCAAGTTGGTGCGTGATGCACGGCTTCGCCCGAACTGGCACTGTTGCTGGCTTTGGCTTGTTTGTGTGGGGTGCACGGCTTGCAACAGCTTAGAGATGCGAACAGTGTAGGTACAACACAGGAAATGTGCGCAGCATTTTCTGCTCTTCATGTATGTTCTTACCAGCAAATGCAGCATCCACATTCTGAACAACACAAACATACTGACATATTGGCAGATTGACGCATTCTAATTGTGTCATGCTGCTACAACATCCAGTTAATCTATAGTATCCTTTGTAATCTGATTGAAGCCAACACAAGCAGACTGACCCTGCCCCTCCTGAACCTGCAGTTTGCCATCGCCGTTGCCAACAAGCTGGCCATGGCCCCTGGTGACACACCTGCCCAGGCCGCCCGCAAGCTAGCAGAGCACCTCCATGGTGGTTGGGGCGTCGGCCATGCCGCCTGCGACGACGGGGTGCTGGTGCTGCTTGCGATCTCCGATCGCCAGATATATGTCTCTACAGGTTGGTGTTTCGGTTCTTGTTTTCGACTCCAAAGTACAACACTATTGTCCAGCTTTTTCTCAACAATTTTCGGTCGTATAGAATGTTGCTGATTTTGAACCATTGAATAGTTAATTTCAAATATGCAACTTCAGGCATGGCAATTATTCTTGAATACTAGGTCTTGTACCAAAATTGCCCATGGGGACTATACAATTGTCACAGCCAGGGATGTGAGGGGCTGTGCAGCACTCTGCAGTTTCTTGCGCAAGGTCCCATGACTCTGTCTGGCACTGGAGCTCTGGACTTTTCCACCTGGAAAATTTATTTTGGATATTTCGAAATTGAAGTGATGAGGTACTGTGGAATACAGAAAGTAAACCATTGATTCACTTGTGGAAATGTGACAGACCGGTGCCCAGGAGCAACAAGCAGTTTGGCACATTTGGCGGCCTACTTCTGCTTCTAGTGTGCTTTGTTATCCAATGTATCCCATTATTTGCAGTGCATGTGAAAGTGCTGCTGGTATTCTACCATACTGCCAGTATTTGTTGTGTATCAGTAGCATTGCAGTGCACTAAGTAAGTCAACCCAATGTGCTGCCAGTACTTACAGTGCACTCTTCACAAACATAATCACCTTGCATCACACTTGAAACCACATAGTTTTGCAAATGAGACAATATCACAAATTAAATCACCAAAGTTTGCTTGTCCACCAATAAAATCATCCAATGCACTGCCAGAAGTTGTCTTGTACTCATATCCTGTGCAAGTTAAGCCGTGCTGCACATCCACAGGCAAGGGTGCAAGAGCCAGGCTGTCTGATTACAAGGTGGCAGGAATCATCGATGGCATGAGGCCCCACTTGGTGCAGGGCAAGTATGTGGCAGCCCTGTCGCATGCCCTGCACTCCATTGACGAGGGGCTGAAGCCCACGCCGTGGTATTTGCCAGACGGCGCTGGAGGGATCATCGCTGCTTTCGTTGTCATCTGTGTGGTCTTTTACCTTAAAATGTTCAGGTAGCTGATTCTCGGTTTGCCCGGCATGTTTACCACGCCTTTCCATTGTTGCAGAAGATAACATGAATGCGCATGTGTGAATGGTTTTATCAATATTGTGTGAAGTGCAGATCACCTTCATGGGTATTCGTTTGTCATGTTTCGAACATGACAGATACAGGTCTGAATGAGGCTCATATTGCTTTTGTGCTGATTGAGAGTAGCCTGTTTGTACCGGCTTTCATCATGACTAGGCTTGCTTCTGGGCACCTGTCACGGAGAGGCCAGAATAGGTGTGTTTTTTGCTGTACATAATTGCAGCCATTGCACATCGTCACTGTTAAATGTGTTGATTAATGTAAAATGATGCACTGGCTGAAGTATTGATTTCCTTCATCAACTGCGTGCCGGGTAGCTGGCCAGCAGCAGTGGACACTGATGTACAAGTAGCTTTGTACACATAATCCCACTGAAAGTGATGACAGGTGTAGCATATGTGACGATGGCGGTGGTGGTTGCTTGTGCTGTGCACCCCGTGGGGTGCCCACAACACACTTCCAAGCTGGAATCCAATGACATTAAATTGATTGCAACAATGGGATGATAATAGCAGCACAAAGTAGTAGCAAAACATGAGGAATCATGGACGCGGAAATGAAATGGCGTATTTCTTCCAGTGGCTCCGGGCAGGCCAACAAGTTTGGCGACTTCAAGGCCAAGCTTGAGCAGTTGAAGCAAGACCAGAAGGCGGTGAAAGAGAACCGCTACAACTGCAAGACCTGTCCCATTTGTCTTGAAGAATTTGAACAGGAGGTGCGGAGCGGTGCAGGGGTGACGGCCTCCCAGGTAACAAGGGGCTGGACAGATGGATCACTGATGGTGTTGATAATGTGCTGGACTGGCGGCACAAGGGCTGCAGTGCGATGGCCAATGTACTGGAGTGAGGGCATGATAGATGCAGTGCAGTTGCTGAACTACTGGAGTGGTTGCTTCAATTTGTGTTGGTTTAATTCCGGCAGGTGCTGTTGGTGCCCATGATGCATCCTACAGTTTGTGTGTTTTGGAGTTATTGCCTGATTATTGCCTGATACATGTGTTATGCATGCTATTACACACACATTGATTTGCATGCATTATTATGTGTCCTGTTGTTTATAGGTAATGTGCGCATTCCGCACTGTTAGGTCCATTCGAAAATGGCAAAAAGAAGCACGAGCCAGTGTTACAGAGTACCGAGCCTTGTGTCACCTTTTCCGGAAAGGGCTGAATGTGTTCTCTTAGAGGGCCCAGTGTTTGCCCTCCCAGCTGACAAATGCGTGCCTGGACAATCAGGATGTGGATCAGGCTGGGGAACTGGGCGCGGAAGGCACCTTCACCACCCCCACTGCCCCCAAAGGTACAGAACCCACTGTCTCTGCATCTTCCGGCCCAACTGCCATGGCCTCCAACCCCGTTGCCGCACCTTCAGAAACGGCATCGAGCAGGGGTGGGGGTGAGGAGCCCAGAAAGCGCACTCCGCTGTCGCTGCCCTGTGGCCATGCCTTTTGCGAGGAGTGCATTGGCGGGTGAGCATCTACACTGAAGCCTGCAGCTGGCTGTGTGTATACGCTTATATTGTTTAGCGATACATACATGTGTGCACAAGTTGTGCTTCGTACTGTGCTATTGTGTCGCATATGATATGTGTGTAGTTCTGTCTACAGATAGTTGTGTTGATGTGTCGATGAGCATTGCATAGATGCACATCGATGCTGTGGCTTTGTGTTGTCGTTTGGAAGAACTGCTCAGAGTTGTCAGCAATGAACGTGCTGACCAAAGTGTTTAGGAAGGAATTTTGGAATTTTAGGAGAATAGTTTTGATTCTGATCAGTTTGATTTGATTTTGAACAAACTGTTAAGGAATTTGTTATGTTATATTTTATGAAGTCTCATATCTGTGTGTCCTCTGCAAGGATCAGGCAGCATTTAGTCTTTGTTTGACGATCAGTGGGTGCCAGCCCGTGTGCATTGTAAAATGTACTTCCTCTGTCCCAGATTATTTGTCATCTATTTGAAAGGCTAAATTTGTTACATGGACAGCCTCAGAATTTCAAAACAAGGTCAAAATCGAAAAGGTTGCATCTCAAAACCCTTGACTATCAATTTTCAAGAAGGAAAAATGAGACATGACCCTTTTGAATGCAAGGCGAATATAAATTTGGGCCGTTTTTGACGCCAAATATAGATTTACTATGTAAAAAGACCGTTGTTACAAAGTACTGCCAAATCCTCAATACTTAGTGGATTGACTTGAACTTTTTATGGTGTACTCCCAACTCAAAAAACATAACCGTAGGTGAAATTTCATTGGAAACATGTGCGATCATGATTGAGAAATAATGCCCCCAAATCATAGACGACAATTAATCTGGGACGGAGGAAGTATGAAATCTAAGCAGCTGTAGTGCATCATATGTTGTTAATAAGGGAACTGACTTTGCATCTGGAGTGTGTGGCTGAGGGTGCGCCACAGTTGGGTAGTGACTTAGTGATTCTTTTGGGTTGCGATTCTGCCTAAAAATAACAGAATCAAAATCAGAACCTGTTCTGATTCTGTGTGCTTGTTAATGCTTTGGTGTGCTTTGGCCCTTCTGTCATGCTGACATCCAGCCCGCAACGACAGCGGTATGCCCCACCAACTGCCCATTTGATCACTCGTCGATTGTTGACAAATTTGGAAGTCATGGATCCATGACAATATCCAACCCATTCCTGCAGATGTGGTTGATTGAGCGTACCTCACTCAGTCTTGTTTAGCAGCATGCATTGCTACAATAGCTGCAAATTGAATAAAGTCAATGTCGACTTAGCAACTGTCAGCTGACAAATCAACTGTTCAATTAAACAGCAGTGTGACTTGAACGGCTGCAGGTGGCTCGAGAAGGAGAAAAACAGCTGCCCGATCTGCCGGAAGCCCATCGATGGCACGGACGCAAGGCCGGCTACCAGCCCTGGCGTGTCCACCCGGACCTGGGACGAGCAGGCCTATGCCGACGAGTTTGTGTTCCGGCTGGGGAGCATCGGGAGGCTGTACCCAGGCTATGCCACGCCCACCAACCTACGCAGGTGCGCGTTGATGGTGTGTGGCAAGTGTCGAATGTCTTGACTTTTGCTGAAAGAGGGTAGGCATCGATGTTCTGACTGATGCTGCGATCGATGTGCTGATCGATTTTGCTGTGCGGCAGTGCAGCATGCCTTTCTGTAAGAACTGGTACGGGCATGTGCAGCCATGGTACGGGCACGTACCGGTCAAGATTTGTTACATGCCAAAGAAAAACATATCATCCACAAGGCCACCCATCTAAAGCAAGTGAATGCGGGACTCTGTGCCATACGATGAACGCCGATTTAGAGTCTCTGAAGTGGCTAAGTGCACAGCAACAGATTTTCTTATATATTGTATTCTTATACACCTCTGTCCAAAAGTATTGTCCGAATTGGTTTTCTTACAATATCTTTTTGAGATCAACTCAACTGGTCAATCTGACACCAGATTTAGATTCCTTGGTCGATTTCCGATGGGTGTGGATCCCCACTACACACAATCAGAACTGTAAATCAAGAAATCCAGAGCGTTTTGAAAATTGTCCATGTCCACTATTGCGCACTCCCTGAGTCCCTCTTGTTGTTGGGTTTGCCCGAACCCTGTATGTTCCATCGTGGACCCATTTCCTCCAAACTCCTCAAGCACTTTGTTGTGCACAACAAACAAGCACTGCCGCAACAACTCCTGCCATCTGATCCACATTGCTGAATCATTTCTTGAGAACCCTTGTTTTCAACGATCTAAGAACCCACGGTGGTTGATGTTCAAATCAGGGGATTGCGCTGACTAGGTAATCAAGTCAATGAACCAGCCCTTCATATGCCCAACTTCCTGAAGGTCTTCCAAGTTTCCTTTTCCTGTGTGGGGCCTAGCCCCATCCTGTTGAACCAACATCTGCCTGTTTTGCATCCATGGCATCTTTGTCTGGATTGCCAGCAAGAGCTTCTCAACATACCACTTCTGATACCAAGCGGAGTCTATGGTGGTGTCCACATGGTATATGTCCCCCTTTTGGTGGTACCTGCTGTTTTTTTTTGCCACCATTTCCTTGGACACATGCCAGATTCCAATCTTCCCATCTAATTGATAGGCCGGATCCAGCCTAGCGTTTGCCACAATGAACATACGTTTGGAATGTGGCTCTTGTGTTGGACTGTGGCAACACGATCCACTACTCCCTCGGGGAAACAAGTGCATGCTCGCCGTCCGGCGTCAAGTAAATCCAAGTTTCATCCACATGGACTGAATTCAGTGCAGAATCGTACACCATCCTCCTCTCGTTGACCTTGTCCACTACAAACACCAATCTGGCCCACATCTCCTCGGGATTCAACGATGGTTTGATCCAACGCCTTTTGCACACTGCCCCCATAGCTTTAAGCCGTCTACAAACCGAAGCTTTGCTTGCTTCGATGCTGGAATTCTCAATTTTGCGAGTAATCTGCCTCGTTGTCCCCCAGCAATTCCCCTTCTTCACCTCTACCAAGGCTGTTTCCCTGGTCAGTGTTAGAGGGCAAGGCCGTCCTGGCCTTGGCTCATCTCCAAGTTCGATGCTATTGCACCGATCCTGTTGTTCCATCGCTCTAGATCATCACCTCTTCACGGTCTTCGTTGAAACTCCGACTTGGGCTGCGATCTCCAGCGCCTTCCCATACGGAATGCGATCACTAGCAGCGTCCATTGCAAACACGCAGCTGAGGAGCAGAGCGTAGTGCTTCCCCAACGGCAGCTCAGCCGATTCTGCCCTTCTTGACGGGCAAGACGAGCTCGCCATGGCAGCGCCAAACTGCTTGCAACGTTCAGAGCCCCATCTCGGCGTGTCGGTGCATAACTGGATAACCACTGGGCCGTTGGCAATGTTCGGGGTCGCTATGGATAGCTCTCAGCAAGGCGCGTCAGAGCTGTTTAGGTTATTTTTTCTGACTCGCATGTTTTGACTTTCGTTTTTTGTGAAAACGAATTCGAACGATACTTTGAGACGGAGGGAGTGTATGTCTCATATGTACTGCATGTGTGTGCGCAGGTGGGAGGATGACTTCCGCCTTGGCCGTATGCTGGACACCAGCCCCGCAGAGTGGTTGTCTGCAGGCTCAACGTGGCACAGCGAGGGCTGGAGCGGCGGCATGGGGGCATTCGGGGGAGGCGGGTGCTCCAGGGGGAACGGGGGCGCAGGGGGCAGCTGGTGAAAGCGCAAAGTAGGGCGGGTGCGGTGCTGTGCAAGTACGGGGTGGGTGCAGGCCTGCCGTTGTGTTCGTTGTGAATGGCCAGTAATGGACAGAGCCCTGCCCCTGGATCTGAAGGGTCATGGTGGGCTTGGTTTGTCTCCACAGCATTTGCTTCAGAGTGTTCAGTCATCTATCTGCCTTGGGCCAGGAGAGGCTGGTGTGCATCTTGTCCAGAGCAGCGCTGCACTGCACACAGGGTTCAACTTCAGCTGCAAATTCAATTGTACGATGAAAAGCGGATGGGAGCTGCTAGTGATCTGCAGTTCTTGCCAATGGGCTACCAAGAATTAAACCGTGGAAGTTTGGAATTTTCCGGTTTTGCAATTTTTCAACTCATTTTCGAAATTCTCCTATTAGAACTGGAGGGGAGGCACGCGCAAAGGGGATGCACAAGCCGTTGAGGACCCCCAACGTTTTGTAGTTTTGAGCATTCGAAAGTTGCGAAGGTGGATGGAAGGAACAAATTGGCAGGTGGGGCGATGGCGTCCGAGACGCTGGCGTTCTGAAAGAGGAATGAACTCATAAGTTGAATAAAGGATGCGGGCAGAATGGAATAGGACGCTGACGCCGGCGCTCCAGCTCTTAGACTCTTTGAGCGCCGTTTCAGGGAAGAAATGGTCAACTAAGTACTTTCGAGTACTGAGTTTTGTGCCATACTTTCCAGCAATAGTGTTTTTTGGGGCCTTGAAGGGATCTCTAGTGCTGTTGGAGTGTGGAGTCGTTGCATGCCATGACGAGCGCTTTTGGCCCATTGCCGGCCATCTACGCCAATAAAACGATCCCATAGCTTGCGCGCACATTGCCGTCACCCTTCCAGAGAAAACTGGTGCAGCAATGTACTAATCATCGTACATTTTTTGTCTCCCGCACTGGGTCGTATGGCCCCAGGGCGTCCCAATGTAGGTTTGGTGATGACGTCACGCGAGTTGGAGGGTGACGCAATTTTGTAGGAGCCTGTCGAAACATTATGTCAAGAGTAGGGAACAATCTTAGTGAGCTTGCCACACCGAAATGGCATTTGTCTGTATCGCTTGCTGCCATTCTGCCCCTCGTAGTTCTGATGGCGTTGCTGGGGCGATTGCTGGTCATTCTGATGTGGTTCCTGGACCAGTTGTTGATAATTGTGGCGCCAGTTCTGGAGCGAGAATTGGCGAATGAGAGCGTCCTCCTACGCATCCAATCCTCGATACTGATCGATTCTCTTTACTGCTCTGTTTGTGTGTGTAATGCAGTAATCCTTACTACTACGCATATTTGCGGAACATGACAAACAGCACAGCGCTTGCACGTGTTTTGTGACAGATGCAATCCAGATTCACGTTTACTTGTTTGAATTGTTCGCATTATGCGAACACGTAATTATTCCAGTCAATCAGCATTATTTCGAAATCAGGCACTAATTTTACGTTCAGGGTTTTATCGCGTGGCGCCGTAAAAAACAAACCTGTCCGCCAGCGCAACGACTGGGACGTCATCAAATTAACTGCGATGACGTCAGCTGCACAGTGTCAAATGGGATTGTGGTTGACGTCGCTAGAATGGCGTTTTCCAGTGGTGAAAGGGTGAGGGCTTGGGGTTGAGAATGGCGCCGAAAAGGATCCTCCAGAGGATCCCCCTGGGGTTTACATGAATACATAACCTGGCTGCTACAATTACGTCTTGTTCAATATCAATCAGCATCCTTGCTATTCCACGTGTAACGATTTCAAATAAACAAACAATGGATATTATTGCGGCATACTTTCGGGCAAACGGACTGCAGATGTGCATAATTCCCCTCGTTGCCTCACACCACCGTCTGAGGACAAAACTGGTACTGGCACGTACTGCCAAGTATCGAGCCTTAAACCAAATTCCCAGCTGAGGGCTAAACAAGCGCGCACAGCGCCAGCGCCCAGGCGCCATTCGCCGACACCCAAACCAATCATCAACAAAGCTCCACAAATTGGACAAAACTCCAGTAGTAAAAGTGTCACTACTTAGCACTGCAAAGTACTGAGATGTGCTCCGCAATTCTCAACATTGCGTTCCCCCTTTGCAGCGCCCGTTGTTCACAGCCTCAACGGTCCGTCAACGTTCATTGGGGCCCATCAGACGCCGCCGGGGCACATCATTGAGTGTTTGCCTTGGGCTCGTACACCTGCTCCATGACCTCTTCTGTCGTCGGTTCACAGCCGTCATCCACCTGCGGCAGTGAACAAAATTAGCATCAACGAATCCATCAACAAATAAGCGCGTTACAGTAGAATATAAAATACAGTTCAAAATGTATTTTAAAATTATCACCATTGAGAGTAAAACCAAGAACGCTCGCACACAGCGGTTCCCAGAAACAGAAGTTAATCCGCAACTGGATGCGTTGCAGGACGAGTGCACCAATCAAATAGTACTCGCTGTAAATGTTCTCGGTAAATCGTCGTATTTCCATATTCATTTCACCATCATTTAACACCATGTTCCACGTGTCCGGCCACAGCGTATTTAGCACCATTTCCTTCAGAGCTACCTGCTTATTTTCCTCGCCCTCACAATCACCATCATCATCATTCTTACATAACAAGGCAATGAGGTAGCCATCAGCTTCCCATTTTGCCCGAGCAAAGCAACGTCCATGATGAGCTCATTGAAATCTAATGTACAACCACAAACATACCGTATTTACCCCGTATTAGTGGGCTTGCATTGGACCCCTAAAGTGAGCGGTGGATACTAATAGCGGGTCATGGATACGAACGCAGTTTAGACCCCTGCTCCAAGGAGTAGACAGAGAAAAATTCTGAAACATAGATCGGGAAATGCCACAAAAATGGGCTTGAAATAATGTAAGAGTGCATTGCTATGCTCTACTTATAGGCAGCAGCATCACCAAGTCCAAGCTGCAAATCATAGACATCACACTATTGACCACACCATATTACCAGCGACAATGCTATTACTGAAAGTTGTCATCCTCTTCACAGGAGCCAGGGGTCTTGACTTGGGGCTGCACCAGGTGGGGGCGGCTGGCGATTGGGACCAGCAGGGGCTCCTTGGACTGCTCGAGGCGCGCTTGCCTCCGCGATGCAAAGAACGAGGACGGACATGGCCTGCAAAGTGCCGCAAAGGCAGGGCCCGTCCCCAATTCGCACAGCTGCCATGCCGCAAACCCATGGGTTTGTTGCGTGATTGGCCAGTCACAAATCCTATCAGCTGTCCAAGCCGGCATCAGCCAGGGAAAGCGCCGGGGGCCAAGTCCATTGTCACGGCACAGCGCCCCGGCGTGTGTAAGCCAGTTTGCGGGGTGTTGTCTCACAATGGCGGCCGCCCTGAACAGCGCCGTTGCCTGCCCGTTCCTGGCGCTGGGCCTTGGGGCGCCCTTAGCAGGCGTCACCAGAACCTGCTCTGGCTGGCCAGGGATCAGGTTGACTCAATCTAGAAACCAGGGTGGCTTTGATTTCTTGATCACTTGTTTGATCAAGCCTGGTGGCGTCAGTCGTCGCCCAGCGATCATGCGCTGAAAACCTCAAGGGCAGCCAGTCAACCCCGCAGCCTTTCGCGGGCCTCTTGCCAAATTTCCCCTCAACGGCATCCACACCGACCCGGTCGTCATCATCAACGCTCGAATCGCTGGGAACGCGGTTTGGCCCAGACTGGGCAGCGCGGTCCAACGCCAGCTGTCGACCAGACTGCGCCTTCCCTCGTCTCTGTTTCGCTGAGGTTTGGGGGTGGGTACTGACACCGGGTCATGGATACTAACGTGGTGTCCACCCAAAAGAAGGGGGTGGATATTAATCGGGAGTGGATACTAACACCAGGTAAATACGGTAATACATGCAATAATTCTACTACATTGATTTCGACATCATAATCGGGAACGTACTCCCATCAATATGCCCCATTTGAGGAGCTCGCAGAACTTGTTCAAGCTGATTGTCTGGACGCCCCGCACGCCCTTCACCCTTCGCCTTTGCTCCTCCGTGCTGTATCCCCTGCAAGAGCACGATACGATGACGTCATGATAGGTCGTCAGATTTTTACGATGTGGTGACGTCATGACATGCTGCGAGATATCGTGAAACGGTGCAACGACATCGCAAAACTTCATGATGCGTCGGAAGGCGTCATCATTAACATCGTTCTTACATAAGAAGGCAACGACGTAGCCATCAGCCTCTTTAATTTTACTTTACTCTATTTCGCCTTATTTTATTCTCATTTCATTTTCTGTTTTATTATTATTCTGTTACGATGCGTCGCCAGCCGGCATTCAAAAGCGTCACATTATTGACAAGACAACTTCTCATCAGTCTCTTAGTCACAGCGCGAAATGAAGACACACAATCTCAAAGAAGAAGTGGCGTGGGCAAGTATTGTAAAACACTGAGCCTCATACCAGTTTTTTTTCCTCTAGAAGGCTAAAACACTTATGAAAAGCAAAAAAGCGAAGCATCATAGGACGTCACAAAAGTCGGACGCAAAGAGAAGATCGGCTCCTGTGAAAAATAGATGAAAGATCATTGATTGGTGACAAAATGCTGCATTGCAATATGATAGCTAACATTCAACAAACGCTTTGACAGCAACAAACTATTTCCAAACCAATCGCCACAGATTTCGACTCCCAATGGCATCGAGCGTCATGTGGGGCTTAAGGCCCACAATGGCTAACATCATGGAACCTGTGTGCAGGTAACTTTTGGGTTGACTGCTCCTCAGCAATCAGAGTTACTTCACACTGCATTCCAGTAGTACTGCAATGCACACTTTCCAAAGAAACGTGGTACAACTCAGTACTAAAAAGTGCAAAGCCTTATGCCATCCTTCCAACTATGTTGTAAAATGACACGATGGTGATGAAATGGTATGAACAATGACAAAATGGTGTCACGACTTTGTCATAAGTGTGGGTTGTACCTCCTAATGTAACATATGACAAAATAGTACGTCCTCCGTCCCATATTAAACGTCCTCTATTTGAAATACAAAATTCGTACAAGGAAGGCTTCAAAGGCAAAAAATGTTCGGAATCAGAAAAATTGGGTCCCAAAAGCCTTAACTACCAATTTTTGAGAAAAAAGTCAGTCCCACCCCTTGAAGGGCACACTCGAAATTGCCCTTGGATTTGAAAAAATGGGCACACTGATTCTGCTTCCGCTGGAGATCTGCACTGTTCTGGGCCGCTCCTGTCTTGGGCAACCAAGGGGATTGCTTCGCACTGCCGTGGTGAAGGGCGACATTCCTTGTGTGGAATATTGCTGGTCAAACATGGCTGACGGTATTTGGATGGTCGTTGCAGGAGGCCATCTTCGCAATGTCGACGATGCCAGAATTCGCTGCAACCCTAGATCCGAGATGCAAAGACCTGCCACCAATGGAATAGGCCAAGATCCGGGGCGCTCAAGCCTGGGGCCTGTGCGGCCTACCACTCCAAGGTATTTTTCTGCTCTGCACGAGCATCTTGCCTCGATCGATCTTTGTATCAAGGCCTTTGCGGGCAGCTTAGCCCACGATCCATAAATTGCCACCAACAACCACCTCTTTTGTGTATTCCACAATCCAGCACCACCTATCTAGTCTACGTTGGTGAGAGATGCAACATGAGCCATCCAACCGTTCTCTTTGTGCCTAGCCGTTTCAAATTCCACCACAAAGCCAATTTCGCCAATTTCGTGCCGACAGCAATTCCCACAATCGGCTGCCGCTGAATGCGGTGCTGGGCTTCACCTTCTATGCCACCTCATCAGGGGGGTTCGGAGTCACCCTCTGTTGTCTTGACAGGAACAATAGAGGATGAAAAGTCTTGGCCCCAAAAATTCGGGGTCGGAAGGTAGCACTGGTCCACCAGCCCAGCACTGAATTTCAGCTCTAAGCTACGAAGAGCTGCACAATCAGGGCCTTGCTACACAGTACTGCCAAATATTTGCTACTCAACAAATTGACTTCAAATTTTGATTGTATACTCCTAAAACGTAGGCAGAGCTTTGGACAAAATTGAAAAGCTATAACTTCTGATGAAGTGATGCGTTGAAGTCGTTGAGGATATTTGATACGGGACGGAGGAAGTATGTGGCAAACGTGGGTTGTACCTATTGCATGGCAAGTACAGATTGTACCACCAAATGTAGCAGATGACAAAATGGTGGTAAATATGGTATGAATAGTGACAGAATGGCGTCACCAATTTGTCCCTAATACGGGTTATTCCCCCTTGCCACTCCGTGGTGCTGCACAGCAACACGTGGTACTTAAGCCTGTACTGAACTCACCAGTCCGCAAAGTACAGATTCCATCTGGCCATGTCTTCAGCAGTACTCATGAGCTCGACAGTCTCTGGACGGTCATCGACGAAATGCAGTCTCACGCCAGGCTCCTTGCACATTGGGCGCTCCCCCAGTTCCCTGTGCACACATGGTGCACTTAAATACTGGCTACCAAGGGCCTTTCTAAAGTACTGGGTGTTCCAAAGGCGACTGCACACATTAATGCAGTGAGGCAGAAATTGAAAGCAACGCCGATGCTAAAGTACTGGGTTATGGCTGACAGCCACAGACAGTGCCTATTTTCTTGCTCAAATTGAATCGCACAGTTTCAGAACCAAAACTGGAAAAGCTGCTTTGCAAGACGGTGGGAACGCCAATTTAATTCAATGATTCCATAACTCTATAATTCTATCATAACTCAATAATTCAATAATAACTCAATATCTCTACCAATCCAACTGTGCGAAGACGCCAATCTACACAATCCACAATCGACACTTGACAAATATAGTGCATCACACAGTTGCGATACATTCGATTTCACATGCACACCTTTGGGATTTCACAGTGACTGACAGCTGCAATGCTGACGTCGCCCTCAGATGCAAGGAGCCTTACGATGGTAACGATTAGCAGAGCTAACAACAAAATAATGTCACAATCTGTAGTCCTGTTGCAGGATTGCTATCTCATACAATTGGTTTATACAGTTCATGCCTCAGCAACTTGACACGATCTAAATTCAACATTGAGTACTTAGAATCAACCATGCTAAAATATTCAACAATGAGTACCTAGAATCAACCATGTTAAAATATTCATTTGCTAAAAGTAATTAACGACAAAGCGATTAATGGAATGCAGGTGCCTGCCTGACTGCCTGTGTTCAGCCCATGCCAGTGGGTACAGACAAGACAAAAGCCCTGACAAATAGGGGGCCCCGCACAGCTCCAGAAAAATAGTAAGAAACAGTATCGAGTCTCTACAAGCATTTGCACGATGTTGCAATTGTTGTGAATAAAACACGCAACGCTAAAGTAGAAAACCAATAACAGAATTGATCAAAATGTGGAGTTAGATGAGGGCTTGCCTGAGGGCCCGTGCCTTAGCTTCCCCTGGGGGATACAGGCCGGCAATAAGCCTTGGCGAGTCCACAGGTATGCTGAGGCCAAGGATGTCCTGCAGGAGCCCTGCAGCCGATGCTGGGGGCTTGGTGGTCACAATGTAGAAGGGGAACTCGCAGTACATTAGGGTCTCTTTGATGCCAGGGTAGGGTTGATTCAGCCGGCGCCAACCAGCCAAGTCTTTGGCCTTCTGGGCTTCCCTACAACACAAAATATATGCTCAGTTCCTTATTCATGACCAGGCTATTGCTCAGTCATTTATAGTTAAGGTAGACTAACAATGTCAATGCATGACATACTGCAAATGGCAACATGAAAAAGCATACCACCAAACGTAAATGTACATAACACGCCTTCATCAGGGCTCTGTGAAAAATCACACCAGCTGAAGTGCCATTCACAGAAGTAGTAGAAAAGGTGGTGCATAGATGAATGGAATAAAAGCACAAAGAGAGAATAGAGCAGCAAAAGAAGAAAGACGAAAAAGCAAAGAAGAGAAACAGGTGAAAGGGCACAGCACAGGACTGTGCATCCAGCCGCCAATCGTGTAGTGTGAAACAGGTGGCAACAAGCACCTATAGTTGAGTCAGGAGCTTCCCATCGCAGATTGTCATCGACAAATCTGAACGAACTTTCCTCAAAGACAAGTTCCAGCACCGACTAGCACCGATCTTATGTGCAAACTGCTGCTGGGCGTCGTTGCACCCATCCTCGCCCGCATGGCACAAGAGCTTTGTTTTGTCATTTGATTCTGGCAACGCTAGGTTCCGTCACTGGCGTTGGCAGTGCAGCACTGCCAACGTTTGGGAAAAGGGGTACAAGCCTCAGCGCCTTGTGGCACTTGGTTGCACTGCTCTTCTTCCAAAGCCTGAGCTGCGACATGTGGAATTCGCAAGAATATACAGCCACAGAGATATGCTATGTTCACAGACCACATATACATTATATCCATTCACATGTGTCCACACATATGCTGCATTCACAGACCTGAATTTCAGAAACTCTGCCTGAAGGTCATCTGGCGTCCACCCCAGATCTGCCAAGGCAGCGTCGTGCACTGCCGGCCAGTCCTCAGCGATCTCTGATGCCTTTTGCGGGGCCTCCATAAGTAGCCGTGCCTGCAACCTTCCACAAAGCATTCATCACTTACTTATTCGCTCATACCTAATTAATCAACTGCTTACATACTTAGTGAATTAACAAATTAACTAGTCAATCAATCAATTAATCAATTGATTCATCTATGTATTTGTACATTAATGCATCCGTATGTGTCCAAATTGTATGTTTGATTGTCTATTTATTCATTTACACATCATCAGCTTAAGTGTTTGTTTGGTTACGTATTCCGTTGCCACATACTGTCAAAATACTATTGCGGCAACACAGACAGAATGGCCACACCAGCCAGCACTTTACCATCGCCATAGAATCACATATCCCAAGTACTTTGCGCTCACCATCAGCACCTCCTCATGGCCATTGGTCTTCAGTGGACGCAGCTTATTCAGCTCTTGCTTGACCCTCTCCTTTGACTGATCGTCGGCACCCTCGAAAACATCAGGCCAAAGGGCAGCAGCAGTGCCATATCCTGTTGAGGCGATCTGCAGGAAGCAGCCCCAAAGCCTGAGCAAGAGCTTATGGATCAGTAATTTTGCATTCCCAAAGAAAGCCAATAAATTCTGTCAACTACCATGTGCTTGATAAATGTCCTCATTGACGTGTTGGGTGCCAAATGGGCAAGATGCAAAGTCCTATACCCTGGCAAATGAAAGGGCACTGCCCTGGGGGTGTTCTTTGGTCATGCTTTTGACACATGCCGTCAATGGTGATTTGTGCAAAGGCACAGATCACTGGTGATTGATACATTCATACTGATATGTTAATACTGATATATGTGCACAGGCGCAGAGCCACAAACTCACGCATGCTGCAAATCCCAACCAGGCCAATGGTCCCCAGCATCGCCCGGCAAGTGACCTGGGACCGATTTGCCATGTTTTGCTGGATGTCAGCAACAAACGATTTGCTTCACTGGTACCATGAGGCCTCCATGCCTGTGACCACAGCACAACTGGACCCAAATCTGGCCAATATCAGCTACTGCAATTCAGCACAACCACACTGGTATCCCGCTAATTCCAAGGTTGAGCCGCTCACATCGTCTGTCTCCATCAATTTTGGTCAAAATCAGAATCAATTTTCTGAATTTCAAACTGCCGACCTCAGCCTCAAACCCTATATTTGTGAGCACATCCCCGGGCTGAATGCGCAAGGCGGATCCACAGCTTTCCAAGCAGGTACTTTGCATTTTTCCAACTGAATAACATCCTAATCCTACCAAGGGTTTGGGCTTCCTGGATATTGAGGTGGGTGTATCTGAGGAGCAAATTTCAGGGACAGGGGCAGAATTCTCTGGTACAAAATCACATTATCATTTCAATCATAGCACTGAGCACTTCTTTCTCCCAGTAAGCACTGCATTGATGATCTCATTCATACACTGTGTCGGTCCAGGGCTGTTGCCACAGGGCATTTGATCAACCATGGCGCAATGGGTCTGTAATGCATCGCTGCTGTTCTGTGACCACCCATCGTCAGTGCTGCCTGCAAAAGCATTTGCCAAGACACGGCCTTTACATCCTCCTGCATTGCACTGCCTCGGGAGGTGGCAGCCCCAGTGGTGGCAAGCAGGAAATCAACAGTTGGACAAAGAACAGACCAATATTTTGGATGTGTGCATACATGCCATCGCCCGCAAAGTGCAAACGCTCTGGTTGGCCCAGTGAAGGAAAATCTGACACAGGAAATGTATGTATCAAGGTGGCAAAAAGGCCTCCATCGCGTCCACTAAGGCTGAGCTGGGCCCGTGACCTCCCACGTGTGATGGTACAGTTTGGCATCGGGCCAACAGAAACGTTGAGAGATCAACAATGCAATCATCTTGATGGAACTGTAGGGTCTTGGCACTTTGCTTTGGGGTTCAGGGCGTGCTTACTTCCAGACAGGCTGCGATTTCAGCCAAATGTTCTCAGGCCCAACTGGATGCCACCACCAAGAGCCCCCACTCACGGCCATGCTACGCGCAATGGCGCTTATTTGGCCCACAACTTATGGGCCACAAGGTCAGAGCAAAATCATGTCTGCCCAAATTATCTTCGCTGAAAACATGTCGTTTGTAGGAGTTTGCTTTTGGGGTCCAGGGTACGCCCAAGGGGCAAAAGGACTGGGAGCATTCAGATACACCTTGCAGGTGAGCGCAATCGGGGCAGCTTGAAAATCACCTTGTGCCCTCCACATGCAATCGCATCCCGATGCCCCGAAAAAACAACCAAAAGCAACACCACCTGTGCCCCCACATTGCACACCGGATCCGCTACATCATATTCTTACATCACGGAAAGCAGTCTCGCACCCACCTGCTCAGGATGGGTTGCCTGTTGCGCCCCGTTTCTCTTGGCGAATGACAAATAAAGCAAACAGCAACTAACAACATCAAGTGAACAACAAGCAACAATCAACCCATGCCCTGATCGCTCCCCGCCCTCCGACATACATTTGTCTAGGACGGGGTGCACCTGTTTCTCCTTCTCTTTTGTAACAAATCTTACCCCCCCACCCCACCCCACACACACACCTCCGGGGCCGAGTCCACCAGCACGCCGTCGAGGTCCAGCGCGAAAACATCCGATGGGCCCGCCGCCGCCGGCATCGCCCGGCCCCGACGCCCGGCGCCGATCGAATGGCCGAACTTGGGGGCGGCGTGGCGGCATGGCGTGGCGGGCGGGCGGGCTTCTGGCGCCGCGGGGCCGATGGCCGGGTGGGCCATGGCAGGTGAAGGAGACGATCGGAGGGGGAGCCGGGCTGGAGCACCCCTGGAGCCAGACTCCTCTCTTCAAACGATGCCGGAGCGTGTTCTTGCTGCAATTCCCTGTTTCTTTTATTTGCTGTTGTCTGTTTCTGCTTTTTCTAATTTTCAGTTTCTTTCAGCTTATTCAGGTTTTTCCGCTTTTTGTGGTTTTCCTGTTTTTTGTTTTTGCCCTGTTCCTTTGTTTCCGTTTTCTTGGACTTCTTTTGGCGGGGCCTACTACACAGGGCCTTCTACACGGGAGATCTTTTCTGCGGGGTCCCTTCTTCTTTGCGGAGTGGCCGTTTACCTTATCAATTTGAGATCATCCATTTCGGCTTTCGCCGTCACAAACAAATCTTGCATGTCCATGCGAGGAGGTGGAGGGCCGCGGGGCTGGGTTGGGGTCGGCGGGTCACCCTAGGGTGCCGTAGGCCTACGGCGGGACTTTCAAAAAGGCACGAACTCATGGCATTTTTCTGACAGGGGTCGTTTTTTAAGGTCCGGGAGTACCTTTCCCTGCGGGAGGTCTTCCCTAGGCCTAGGGCGGGGGTGGGGTGGGTCTTCTGCTGTCGTTGTTTCAATTCATCTATTCAGCATTAATCGCCATCAAGGAACGTACTGTGTCGAGGCGAGGATATGGTCATTAGCTCGCCGTTTCGCCCAAGAAGATCATTACCCGTGACTTGCTCAATCAGGAGCCAAGATATGACTGCAGTTCAACTGAGTAATTGCTCTGCGTCGCAACTCACAAAATCACAATATTCACAGAATGGCTTATTGGGGAAGACGCCATGTCGATTTTGGTACGCTCAGGGTCAATTTGATGCTACGATCAGACACTTCTCCTCCCTCCCCCACAGCACCAATCCTTATGTTGATGCCAGGATGACTCAGGAATACTATCAGATAGCATGGCACAACTTTGATAGATCAGATAGCATGGCACAACTTTGATAGATCAGATAGCATGGCACAACTAAGATATTATTGAAGAAGATAATAGCGATAGTTTCTATGATCGTAGAGGATTATAAAATGGGATTCTGAATGCCACGGCACTTGATGGGGGCAGTCTCAGAGGCTCTCAATTGAGACATTATGGGATCCTTCTTGAAGATCGAACGCTTTGAGAGATGTTTTTAAGCAACTCATACGATGTATGCCACTGATCAACGGCCCTTTGTCCATGCCCATAGATTATGTCGTTGATGTGGCAATTGCATAATATCTTAGCATCACATGGCAGGAATTCTCCCCACGCCCCCGCGCCAAGAATCGGCCGCTACGCATGCCGAAATTCGATATAATACCTTCCCTTACTGGTACCACTCAAAATACAAATGTAAAGATGTGTCAAATTTCCAAAACAACTGCATTTGTCTCTTCCAGCGCACAATGCTTGAGTGTTTGAAGCACTAAACCCACTTTAGAGATCGGGATGCGGCACATGGGCCATGTCTTGTTTTGAAAACTGTTCCCCGGAGCGTGGCTCCCTTGCGGAAGCCCGGCCGACCGCCGACGCGGGTTGTCTGCATGGAGGCTTGAATTCAGACAGCATGGAATGTCACTTGATTATCAATTGAGAAAGCCCCTTTGTGCGCCGCGCCTGCGCCTCTTTGCATCAAAATGGCAATACACCAGAAACACTTAACGCCAATTAAGTGGTAATGATTAATCAGGCGGTCAATCAGTCGCCCAGATTTGCGCTGCCGAGATGTTGCTCGGCAAATCACCATCGACATCGGTTTTCTCCGATGTAATCATGCGCTGGCGCAAGCGAAATTGGACATTCGCGCAACTTCGTATCCGCAGTATAATCTACAAAAACTCAAGATTCAAGTCCCGTTTACCACGGCCTTGAATTGTCGAAAATCTGTTAATCCATCAGTTGTCGGAGACATACCGAGTCAGACATCGACAAAGTCGTGCGGTCTTTACCGCACACTCGGTGGCAATCTTGCTATACTAATACAGCAGCGCCGTTGCAATAGCAGCCAGCTGGCCCCTGTCTTCGCTGAGCAAGGTGTAAAATCATTGCCACTCAAAGCACCTCACAGAGGTACCTCATTTAACGTCTAATTCTCCGTTGACAATGCGTCCAAGCCGCCACCGACAAACCCCTTCCATTCAACGCCCGTCGCGCCCCAACCCAAATTCAAAATTCAATCTTCCAAAGCCGCGCTCCCGCGGCGTCAACACCGTGCCCGCACCCCGCCGGGTCCCCACCCCGCCACCCACCAAAACAGCTCCGAAACTTTCGCTCCGAAACACACAGCCACCCATCCACCCACAAACCACCATCCCCGCTCCCCGCCGGCCAGAGTTTAGTCACTCCCTCCGCCAATCCTTATTCACCCCTCGGCTAAGCTCTAATCACTCGACGACCAAAATTTAGTCAACAAACTGGTCAACGGCAGCGCTGACTCCGGTCGTCGCCCCCGGCGGCGCCGCCGCCACCTATGGAGGGCTTGTCAGAGGGGGACCTTTCGGAACGGCACGCTTCGGAGCGGCGCATTTTTGCCGAGACGCCAGCTCCGTTTCGGAGCGCGTCCCTGGGCCACCCGCGGTCCGCCGGGACGGCGCCGGGACCCTGGAACGGTTCCGGTTCCAGGGGAAGCTGTGGGGAAGGCGGGGGCGGCGGGAGGAGCTTCCTGCCGGGAGCGAGGCGGCTAAGCGGTAAGGTGAGAATATTCGGAAGGGGGGGGGGGGCAATTTGGACTGGGCAGCCTGTTCTAACTTTAGCAAGGGTTAGAGTTCCAATGTACGAAATGGCAAATCCACCACTGATCCAGCAGCCGATCGAACTATACTTTGACGGTGTGAACAGTGGTTTTAGGGAATGTGAGGATACGCCATGAGAAATAAATTCATTTAAATGGAGAGTGCATGGTGTGAAACAGAGTTTTTCCGGTGGATGCAGTTTGGGATGTAGAGCAAGGAGAAGGACTCAAGGCGGGGCTCAACGAAGGGACCTGTGTTATTAGCAGAGCTCACAGAGCGATCGCGTAGTTTGCAACAAGGAAAAAAATCGGGGTGGAGATTACAGAACAATGAGGATGGGTGGATGAAGATGGCACATGAAGCAGGCGTGAAACAGCAGAGACTGTCAGCAGAATTGGGAAAGAAAGCGGTTGGAAAATGGAGGACACAGGGGGTTGGGGAAATTTTCGAGTTTCAGGGGATAATGATTGGCTGCCAGTGTCGGATGCGAGCTGTGTGGACATACAATTCGTAGCCACGGTATCCCAGACATACGGAAGTGAAATTACTGTTTCAAACAGCGCCCTACCGCCAGGAATTCTGTCTGACGTCGCAAAACTGACATGAATTGATATTAGTCACTCTTTAGCCTTAATTAATCGCGATATAGCAAATCAACTGAGCCTTTAACAATTACAGTGAGAAGGCAGCATGATTTGCCAATCCAAATTTGAGATTAGATCCCTTTAGAGATCAAATTTATTGTTGAAAATTGATCCATTTAAATATCCATCAAAATTTCTTAATTCGCATTGTAGTATCCACTTTTTGGGTTCGATTTAGTCACTGGTTGACACGTTGGTGAATCGACTGTGATACCAGACTGAATTCCAGAACCTGAAATTCTATTCATTAGACACTATACACCCAAATGCTAAATAGCTCATAGTCTATTGATTGACATTTATAGTTTACATGAATGACTTTATTGCTTGCTGAGTTTATTAGCAATGCACATTCCATAGATCGCCATATCATCTGGTAATTTGCATATCAAATTTCTGAATGTTCAGCGTGAGTTTGAATTTAAGCTGAAGCTTTTGTGCCACCCAGCCGATGGCGTCAAGTCGAGGGACCCCTTCGAGGCGCAGGGCGTCCGTCAGCGCTACCTGGCCGACGCACCCGCGCCCCCCGCCGGCCAACGCACGGGCCCGCGGGCCCACATCCCGCCGCGGCCGCCTTCTCGGGCAGGAATGCGGCAGGAGGGGGGCCACGTGTTCGCTGGTGGAGGCCCCAAGGAGCTGCCGCCGCTGGTGGGATGGCCCGGCTGAAGCCGCCATGCTGTTTGTTTCTTCGTTTAGTAATTACAAAATCCATTGCAGCGCTTTGCAGACATGGGTAATAGAGGTCCACAAAAGGCTGCACAGAATGAGCAAACTGTGTGCTCATCCTTTAGCAACTGTCGTTGTTCCGATTCATGAAGTCTTCAGCTCTACAGCGCGCTCTCATCATGTGTAACTATATCTTTGCTGCTGGGAAAATTTTCGCTCCATGTAATTCAAATGTATACGTGTGTGCCTGTAATAATGCATGTAATACATCACGCCTGTAGTACATTATGTTATGAAATTTTTCACATGTGCAATGTTTTTGCACATGCTTTTGAGCCCGCGTACAAGCATCACAGTTGGCTGGAACATTGTCCCAACAATGGAGCGAGCACTGAATGAAACGGCGCCAATCACGATTACAGCTTCCCAAATTTGAATTAAGCAAATGGATTGCATAAAATGGAAATGTGCATGATGCTCGCTGCAATGCACATGCATATCCAATTTGGTTCAAATTCCATTTTTTAACGTGAAACACGGGCATAAATTTGGTACAGAGCACAAAATTTCTGGCCCGCGTAAACGGAAGCAAACTGCGCCATCCTGACGACGTTTTATGGGGCGCCCCCTTTTATTCAGCGAACTTCCATCACGCCGTTTTCCGGCATCGGCTGCTCCGGCCCGGGGCTGCCTCCCGGCCACATCCCCGATCGCGTGTACGCCTGGAAGTCCAGCGGGCCTGGGGAAGAGGAAGCTGCGCCGAAGGAGGGGCACCCCACGGAACTGCTGCGGCTGAAGGGCCGCGTCAGGAGTTTGAAGAACGAGGTGATGGCCATGCGGAACCGGTCGAAGAAAGAGGCGCAGGTGGGGTGGGACTCTAGAATTTTGGAGGAAATTTGAACGTGACTTAAGCATAGGACGGAAGGAAAACCCTTAGTTGCTCTTGTGTAAATTATTTTCTTTTCCTGTGTGGCATTGTTCCAGATTTTTTTGAGAATCTTCCTGCGAATTTGTTAATTCAAGGAGCGTGTTAAATGCAGCCTTGAAAGTCCTTGAACTATATGATACCTAGAATTAAATTTTCTGCCGTTGCATTCATCCGGTGTGCCTGCGTGCTGCACGCTGAAATGCCTGAGAATTGTGTGTTCAGTCATTACGCATATCGATGTTTGCCGACACGAACGACGAAAGTGCTCTGGCCGATGCACGTTCAAATTGACCATTGTATCGCAAAGTCGAATGCGGGCTGCAATATTCGTGTACGGAGAAGTGAATTCACGGTTAATTTCGTGTGCATTGGTAGTCCCGCAACTTGGAGATGGAGGCCTTAAGGAACCAGGCACAGCACGACCGAGAAGAAGCGGAACGTGCAAAAGAGTCGCTCAAACTCTTGAACAGGAACTTGCAAGTCATAAAAAGGGAGTTCTCTGCTGAGGTGGGCAATCAAGCGTTTTCGCAATTTGATCACTGCGGATGCGGGCCGCAAGGGGGAGGCAAAATGCGACGGCTTTGACAACGATGTATCGAACAATGCATCCAGAATGCAACTGCCTCATTTGTCATCCATCGTTCATATTACCATTTCTTCGTTTTGGTCAAATTCGATTTGGAAATCAATCGAACACGTTTCGGCGGAACGTGGATAATGCAAATCTTGATAATACCGCGCGGCGACGCGAGTGTGCGAGAAACTCATATCAATCTCATGGCACCCAAACAAGGAACCTGCTCAGATGACTTAACAAGTGAGTCGATGCTCAAATTGGACCACATTGGAGTTATTTCCCTTGTAATTCCGGCCAATTTCCATTGATCAATGACTCAATTGAGTCATTGATGATTTTTGCAAAAGTCTAGCTCCACAGAATGTTCACTTTGCCTTGGTTAATTCCTTCATGGTCTTGTCGACTTTTCAAAGGAAAGTGACGCTGGGATGTGTCCGCCTGCGTACGGCAGAACAGAAAACTGTCCACGCTGGTGCAGAAGAGCGAGCGCCGGGCCCACGCCCTGCAGCAGGTGATGGAGCGGCGGGACGAGGACCGAAGGGCAGCGACGGAGGGGCTTGCGCGGGAGAACGAGCGCCTCAAGGCGGAGAGGAACGCCATCGCGCTGGCGCTGGCCGCGATCGCGCTGCAGTCGGTGAGGCATCTAACGTGACACCGTGGACATGGCGCACCTCGCGTGCTAAATTCTATGGTGTTGCATGAATTGCGTGCTGCGGTTATTTGTGGTGCGATTGCAACTCAACGAGGGACAATCTGCGACGCAAGTTTCGAGTTCCGGGCTGGAGATTTGGTTGAAATGTTTCTTCTTTGAAATGCGGCATGATAAGCAAATCCTTGAGTTAGAGTGAGGCGGAGATGGCAAACATTCACGCTCCATCCTCGTTAGCATGTCTCTCGATTTTCTGACCTCGGCGCATCGACATGGACAACAATCTTTAAGGTTTTGTTGTCGAAACAAACACTAAATCGAACAGGTTCAGTAGAGTATTGTTTCCCTAGGAAAAGACTGGAAGCGCAATTTTGGGCCTCCTAACTCGAAAACCTCCCCCAAATCAGGAAATTTCCAGTTTCCGGCGTACCTGTGGTACAGATTCTGTGCGGCTGTACAGAATATGCATGGCATGAGCGGCCGCGATGCCTGTGTCAGTTGATCTGAATGACAGTTGAGGGTCAGTTCCAAAACCAAATGACCCTCGTATTAACTGCAGAACGTTGGCCCCTTTCGCAATTGAATTTTCTGTTGTTGGTCACGGGTTGGTGGTGCCAAATTAAGAAAACTGAGCTGACTGGACGGCAGAATACATTAGGAATGGAAAGCGTTGGAATCGACATGTTACGGACGTTCTGGAATGCGCAGATGGGAGGCGAGAATGCAGATCCAGCTGACGTAATCATGGATGTGGAGGCAGCCGAATTCGATGGCCAGGAGCCCATCCCCAGGTCCCCGAGCGTTTGGCTGCAGCTCAAGTACGAAATCGACGACGAGGGGAACCTCACGTCTTTCAGCAAGAGCAAAGGTGCGAATCTGCAACCCACCCAGCAGTGACGCTGTAGCACGTCTGCGCTGGTTCAGTGTGCTGAAGACGCACTTGTCTTCTGCGCGTATGTTTTTCTGTTCCCCCTAACATGACCAGAAAGGCGAAAAAAATTGTCCCTTGGATTTTTTAAATATTTGCAGCAGCAGAGGCACTCGATTGGAGCCCTTTGATGTCACAGGGGCGAAAACGGAATTTGTGTTGTTTCGTCTCTCACAAGCACTTTTGATGCTGCTATTTTCAGTGCCACGCCGATGCAATATGCTAGTCGTTCGCTTAAATTAAGATAATACACATACACTCATATTGCTTCGTTTCCCTCTGTTTCCATGTGATATCCTTCCAGTAAATTACTGTTGCCCTCATGGACTAGACACTTGCACAAAACCAATGCGCTGTGTCGATTTCTGACACGCTGAAAACATGGATTTCCCACATTTTACTGCGTTGTTTCGCATTCTAATTCATCACATTAATCGGCGCATTTCAGGGTCCCGCGTGAGGCCATTCGACGGCGACGGGGCCCGTGGGGTCGCGGCCCTTGTGCAGCACGTCGCCAGGCTGTACAATCAGCGCACGCAGCTGCGGTCACATCAAATGAGCGTCCTGAGGGAGCACCAGAAGATGGCGCAGGCGGTTCGGCAAGCGGACAAGGAATACATGGTGGGGGGCCGAAAGCAGCGTGCGGAAATGCACATTGCTGCATTTGCAGCACGGTGTATCATTACGTAAGCAAAGAAGTGGTCGATACGGTGGACTGCCGTAGACAAAGTACTATCTAATTTACGTAGAGGTGCCTCAATACATAGTCATTTGTGATGACGCACTCACAGCGCTATTTTTTTTATGTGTGCGCGCAAGCATGCAATGCAAACAGGCGACGTAATCGCGGTTGCCTTAAAAACACCTATCGGGTTGCGTGTATGGAAAACACCGCGCAACCGCGTCAAAATGCGAAGGCTCTCCAACCGCTTTGGAGCTCCTTTCTCTTGAGTTGTTTATGCGCTGCATCCAAGTAATTTCTTGTCGCGCATTATTAGTACACCAATAGGAAGCGATACGATGAGTACTTTATGCTTATTTGCTTGTAACTAAATATAAATTTCAAGTCTCCATCGCGTGCTGCTCACAGAAAGTCGGATCGCGCAAACGCATTTTTTGGTGTCAAATTTCATCACTTGTGCTGCATGTGGGCTGTTCTGCAATGAAACAACAGTTGCATTACCGCACTCCGGCCAGGCTGCATACTAGGACTGTATGTGGCTGGTATTGCTTTCATTCGAATTATTATGTTTTTGACGAGAATCGGTTATGTATTTGTGCAAAGAAATCCGCTGTATCGCCAAGTACCACCCTTAGGCACAGATGGCATGCATTGAGGTTACTCTTCCATCATTTTATACGCTTTTTCTTATGCATGGATACCTACTTTCGGGTTACATCAGTGTACTGCTGTACTGCGCAAAAGGGAGGGAAGCATCGTAGATTGCAGCACACGGCAGGTTGGACAGAATCGCAGGGAGGCAAATCGACTTAAACAGAGTATTGGCCAGTTGTTCTTGCCACTATACGCACAGTTTCTTGTATATTTCAACATTCTTCAACTAGAACCTGTTCTTACGTCATGAATGCATTCGTCCAGCACCTCCCAGATGTGAGTAAATGGAACTAGACTGTGTAATTCCACTGAATGCTTTCATTCAATGTCTTTGTTGGACGTTTTCATTGAACATTTCCATCGAGCGTTTGGCGCCCAGGACATGCACGCCATGATGGACGACTTTGAGGCGGAGGTCAAAAAGATGGAGTCGCAGTGGTCCGTGCCTCCCATATTCAACGACGCCGGCGCCCGCGACGCCTCCCTGACGGGCCGCCTGCACACAGCCCACCGCGCCCTCTCCATGCTGTCCCTGGCCCTGAGCGGCCGCGAGGAGGAGCTCAACGAAGCCAGGGCTAAAGTGCTGGAACTGCGTTTCTACAGAGAGCTGCACGGCAAGGGCATGTACGAAAGCAGGCAAACCGCAGGGGGCCATGGGGACCACGGCAAGAGCACGGATGGCGGGAAGAGAAGGGACGAGGTGGGCAAGGTCTGGTTTACCTCCCAAGAGTTTTGGTGGCTGCTCACTAGTTTCTTTTTGGTGTACTTGCACAACGCGAGCAGTCACGCCACAACACTCTTTCGTGAAAATTTTGCACAAGCTTGTACTATACGTCGTTGAGCCTTCCGACGCTTTTACACCAACGAGGGTTTTGCTTGTTTGCTTCTCCGCTGGCTATTCCTCAGATACATCGATGTGAGGCCGCGGCATCGATCGATGTAACTCATGGATCCAATGTGCAAAGGGCCTCGTCCAGGCCAATCGACGCTTCTATCACCAAGTAGAGAATGGCACCAAGGCGATTCCAAGTGCGATATCATTTGACACATGATGATGGCATCGTCGCTGCTTTTACGCCGTCGTACTCGCTTTGTTGATGCCGCTTAGCGTCACAATGACATCGCAAAAAAAGTGCTTTCTGCCAGCGTAAGTGCACATCACTGATGGGGGTCACTGCCGCCTGCGATCCCAGGTTGGTGATGCTCGTGGCGAGGTGGGTGAACAGGGGATCGGATTGGAAGACTGTGAAGTTAGAACCAAGGAAGAGAACCGTGGGATGGACTTTGGGGCGTTTGGTCCCAAGCAGGAAGGGGCTTCGAGGGGTGGGAATGCGCTGCCAGGGGAATTGGCAATGGGAAACGGGGCCCAGCAAAAGACTTTTGGATCCCAAGAGGAAGCGCTTGTGCAGCCGATGGAGGAGAGGCTTGGCGAGGCAGCAGGAAAAGAGCTGACTTGTCGAGAGAGGAAGGAGGATGCGGCGACGAAAATCCAGGCCAGGTTTCGAGGCAATAGGGCGCGCACTCTGTGCAGGAGCAAGCAGGTGACCGGGGTGCGCGGCGACCAAGTGGGCGAGGCGTCGTCTTCTGAGGTGTCTGTTGACGGAGAGGGCGTGCGAGAGCAAGGCGAAGGCGGCGAGAAGCGTGGGCTGGACTCGGACATTGGCGGTGAGTTGATGGAGTTAGGGGCGGGGAGCGTTGGGGAAGGGGCCGTGGATGACATCGACAGCGCGGTGCTTTCGATATCGGTGGGGGAGGAGGATGTCCTGGAAGCGCCGCTGCCGGAAGCAGGGGTGCGAGAGGGGGCGAAGGACGGCGAGCGGAGGGGGGAGAATGAAGGCGCCGCTGCGGTGAAGATCCAGGCCGGGTTCAGGGGCCACCGGGCGCGCAAGGAGGCGGCCCTTCGCAGAGAAGGGGTGAGGAGGGCGGACGCGGCGGGCACAGTGCAGGCGCATTACCGCGGACACCGAGCGAGAAAGTCCGTGGCGGGCATGAGGGAGGAAAAGAAGGCCCGGGAAGAGGGCGCCGCCACGAAGATACAGACGCACGTTCGGGGACGTCAGGCCAGGGCGCGGGTTGCTGATATGCGGTCGAGACGTTTGGCGAGTGAGGTTAGGGAGACAAGGGCGTCGCCCGAGCGTGAGAGCCCGGAGGAGAGTATTGAGGTAGGCCTCAGGGCAAGCCCTTCGGGCACCGTATCTGTGGTGTTGTCGGACGGCTCCCTCGTGGACGTGGGGCTGACCACGAGCCCCTCGGGGACAGTGTCCATGAGGCTATCCGAAAGGGCTACCAAAAAGGCGAAAAGGGAAGCTGGAGAAGCTGACGGTGTCTCAAAGGGGAACGAAAATACAGATTGTGTCTCAAAGGAAGCCGGAGCCCCAGAGAATGTCTCAAAAAAGACTGGAGAACCAGTTGGTGGGGAGTGCAAGGATGCCGGGGTTGGGGTTGGGCTGGTGGCCACTCCTTCTGGCAACGTGTCTGTCACATTGACGGACAAGTATGCCCACGAGCCACCCGTGGACGAGCAGCCGTCCTCGGCCCCAACTGGCGACGAGCGTGGTCGAGCAGATCACACAGAAACTCGTTCGGAACCCGAGAAGGCGTCAGGCGAAGGCGCCCCGCCTGTTGAGAGCAACGTGGAAGCGACACTTGTTGATGCCGCGAATGGCGCCAGCGACGGGGAGGCCGAGGGCTCAGATGCCTGCGGCCAGAATGTCGCCGCGCATCTGGGCATCACTCGGTCAGGCAACGTGACAGTGGAATTGTCGGATCAACGCGACAGTAACATCTTGAATGCGCCAATTTCTGATGAAGACAGGCGGAATCCCAGCGTCACGGAAAATGCCGGCGGGGCCGTCGGGGTGCATCTGGGTGTGACCCAGTCGGGCAATGTAACCGTGGGTTTGTTGGATGGACCCGAAGGCAATATACGGGATGCACCAAGTTCTGTGGACGACAGTCGCCATGCCCAAGCCATAGAAAATCCTAGTGGATCCATTGGTGTGCGTCTGGGTGTGACTCAATCGGGGATTGTTTCTGTAAAACTGTCGGACCAGAATGTCGAGGAGACGTTAGACGCGGCACGCTCTGGCGAGCAGCACGAGCCGGCCACGCTCTCGGCAGAGGAGTCGCCCCCGGGACAAGAATTAGGCGCTGAGGAGGAACGCCCGGCTGGCTTGAGCGAGGAACAGATGGCGACTGCGGAAGGTGACGTTGAGAAGGATGCCGCGAGAGCACAAGTGGATGGAGTCGGGATGGGGATCCCTGGATCTCTCCACGTCCCCCACTGATGAACTCATGTTTGCCTGCGAAGGGCTGGACGCGGCGTTCGCCAGCGCCCAGATGAACATCGGCTCACGTGCGGGTGCGCGGGCCGGTCCGGAGCCAACACAAGAGGCGGCGGTTGTGGCAGACAGCCTGCCGAGACAGTCTGGTTGCGGTATTGCGTCCGTCGACGGGATAGCAGGCGGCGCGTCTGGAGGTTCTCTATCTAGAAGCAGTCCTGCAGTTGCAGATTCCGCACCTCTGGACGACGGCCAAGGCAGTGATGCGGTGTTGGAAGTTGTCCCAAGACAGTCAAGGGCGGAAAAAACTGGCCTTCCCACAGTAGCCGATGGAGCAGAGCTTCCAACTGCGACAGAGAGGGACGGCCCGCAGGACGCCGGGGACGCTTCGGCAATGCAAGCGCCGCCGTCGGGAGCATCAGGAGCGGTAATGACAGAAGGGGCTGAATTGGCAAGGCAGGAGGGCGAAGGCGGAGGTTCCAATGCAATTGAATCGCCAGTATCGCCGTCGAGGACGCAGTCAGGAAAGAACGGGCAGGTCGACGAGAAAACAGGAGAGCTGCAGCAAGACAGCGGAAGGCCAAGAAAGGAAGTTCTCGGTGGATGTGCATTGGAAGCTTCTGGTAAACACCTCGACACCAGCACGGGTGGAGCTTCGTCTGGTGCCATTGCTGCGGGCGCCCTTGAGCAGCCGTCAACACCCGCGACCACTGGAGCGTCCGCCGATGCCGAAAAAGAAGATACAAGCCATGAAAGCGTCTCAGAAAGACACGCTGCTGGTGATGCAGCGAGTGGGGATGATGCCAAACTCAACGTGCATGTGTCTTTCCCAAAAGGGAGCGTTTCGGAGATTATCGCATCTCAAGAGTCACTGCGAGCAGATCATTCCATGAATCAAGGCAGCAATGAAGCTGTGGCAGTGGAGATGGGGAAAGACGATGGACAGACGGCAGCCAAACCGCCAAGTGGTGAGTTAACTGCAACTTCAATCGCTGAAAGCAGTGAAGTGAGAGGGACCTCTACCTCTGATAAGACTGGCACACAAAATGAAGAGATTCCCACACCGAGCTGTGGACCAACTGGTGCCGGCGTTGGAGCTACAGAGGCAAGTCAAGAATTGACCAAAAAGGAGGGTGGGCAGCCGGGCACAGGTGCAGATGCAGATGATGACACAGGAGCAGTGAATGGGGATGCTACCGCCGATGACTGCCCAGAAGCAGTGCCATTGGATGGTCGCGCTGCAGACAATGCAAACCAAATTGATGGCGACGCCGCGCAAGACCGTTCAACAGAGGGGGCAGAGTCGGGCACTCAGGACACTGCAGAACCTGCAGCAGAAAATGATGTCAGCGCGAGCACGCACGTTGAAAATAAGGACCAGGATTTGAGTCCCTCCGGAACTGTGTCGATAGAGCAGGAGGATGGCGGACAATCGAGCCTAGATGCAGAGGCAGATGACGCAAGCGGGGTTTCGAAAGTGAATGCCACTGCCGGTGACTTTCCAGGATCAGTGAGAGCGGAAGGCAATGATGCAGGCAGCCCACACCAAGTTGGGAGCGATCCCATGAAAGGCGACACGACACAGGCAACAGAATTGGGTACTCTTCAAGCAGAACATGTACTCGAAAGTGTTGTCAGTGCTGGTGAATCCCCTCAAAAAGAGGTGAAAGAGCCCGCGGATAGCGTTCTAAACAACGTACTAAGCGACGAAGGGAGCTCCCGTACGGAGGACGCGGAAACTACACAGGCAGCCGCTGCCGTCGGCGCTGTTGAAGGAAGCGAGGCGCCTCCAAAGTGTGACTCTGATGCACAAGGCGCTGATGCAGAGGTCGGCGCTGAAACTCAAGGACCCGGAAAAGGATCTGGCGCCGAGGGCGCAGCCACTGGAGTGGAGGTGGAAGCCGGCAAAAGCGCTTCTCTTCCGGATGGGTCTCCTGATGCCGCGGACTCGAGTCCGAATGGAGACCAGGACGTCGAAAAAGGGGAAATGAAGGATAGCAGCGTAGATTCTTTAGATCCTGCTGCGCTTGGGGGGTCTCTGGGGGGGAGCCATTGCGAGCTTCTTGCAGATGCCGGGGGTAAAATTTCCGGTCCAGATGACCCTGAGAAAGATCCTGATGTGGAGAGTGCACCTCCTGCGGTGGAGGCGGCGGGCAGTGGAGATTCGCCACTGCCAGTGGGAAGCGGGGATGTGACTGCGTCAATCCCAGAGAACAAACCAAAAGCCGAAGGAAGAGAATCAAAAGAAAATTGCGAATCCTCGCCCCGTGGCATAGCAGAAGAACCAAATGGAAATCCCAAATCTTCTCCCAATGCCGTACCCCTCAGCGATGCCGTTGGCGAATCGCTAAATGGCAACTGTGGAGAAGTTAGTACCGAGGACTCAACGGCATGTCCACATGGACTTTCCCAGCAAACCAGCCCCGGAGATGTCGCTGATGATGTGGAATCGACCGTGGAAGTAAGCACAATAGCTGCACAAGAACGTCAGAACGGGGAGGAGTTGAGCACATCCAGGGGCACCAACAACGAAGCTGGCACCTCAACCGAAGACACCCCATCATCAGATATTATCCCCGCCACCGAAAGTGCGGACAACAGTGGTGAATTTCCACCAGGAGATGCTGGCGTTGGGGACACCACGGGAAGCGCAAAATGCCCGGCAGAGGATGCTGGTGCCCCGGGTGGAGCTCCTATAGTAGAACCTGCGCTCAACGAAGGTGCATCTGCACCGACAGAGAAAGAAGATGCAGCAACATCAAATCCACAGACCTGTCCAGTTGCCGAGAAAAATGCTTTGGACGAGGGCGTTGCTACGGTGGAGCGACCGGCGGAAGATACCACCATCGACATTGCCGCCCAAAGCGGTGAAGCAGGAGACAGCGCAGACACTAATGTTCCGATGCCAAGCGGGGTTGCAGGAACGCCAAATTCCGAGCCACAGCCAACCGATGGGGCAGAGACTGTGGGACTGTCCAGAGGCCCCGCAACAGTTGAGAGGACAGCGCCAGGGGAAAGCAAAGGCGAGGTGGCCGCCAATGCCCTCGTCGCCACAAGTGGTGATGGGCAAGAGACAATTGAAAATGATTCTGAAGTAAACGATCCGGAGGCGGAAGGCACACTCAATGCACCTGAGTCGAATCCGGCAGAGAAAGGAGCTGCCGGCGTTTCGGGATCAGAGGTGGTGCCGGACGGCGGGCCAGTGGCCGAGACAGGTGCTTTGGACGGAGCTGCCGCCAAGGGGGGGCGTCCAACGGAAGATGGCATCGTCGATGCTGCATCCCAGTGGGATGGATCAGCTCCCAGAACAGACGGGACGGTTCTGGCGCAGAGCGGGACTACAGACATGTCTAATTTAGAGCCACAGGCAATCGGCGGGGTAGGTACCCAGGGCCTGGACGAGATCGCGGCAACCGTTGAAAGCACTGCGCCACGCGAAATGCAGGATGATACCGATGCCAATGCGCCTGTCGTCGATGCTGCTGTTGCCAAGGGGGATGTGAAAGAACCGGGGCGAAATGAGGTCGAAGGTTCAGCTCCGGCTGTGGAAGGCAACCTTCGCGCACAAGAGTCAATACAAACAGAGCAGGTGGCCACCGGAACTGAAGAGCCAGAGGCAGTGGCGGAAGGTGGAATCGGACCTTTGGAAGAATCTGGTGCCACAGGTGAACGCTTCCAAATAGAATAGTGCGAGATCTCACACTACAGACGGGAGGTAAATGCTGGAAATGGAGCCGAATCTGGCGCGAATCTGCGATTGACGGAAGAAGACAAACCAACACGAACAGCGCTTATTTGTTATCTGTTACTCATTGCATATTTAACCATTTGCTCAATTCTAAAATAATTTGTTAATTATCCGTTGCTTGTTTACTTAATTGTTCATATTTGTCGTTAACTTATTCATATATCGTAGATTTCTCTATTTCACTCATGTTGTCGTTGTTGAAACAACGTGACCGTCATGTGAACGTGAGCGTTTTCGGCCCTCTGTTTATCGGTGACAGGGGACAATCACAGCGGCATAGGAAAGGATGGCTTGGCTGCAGAAATCCCGGAGGCACCTACCTGCAGAGCCACAGACTCCCCAGAAGCGGGGAACAGCGGTGGGGGCCAAATCGCGGCTGGTGCAACTGATGACGTCCAGCGAGATTCTGGCGATGCAATGGCATCTCGAAATACTGTCGATGCACATGGGCAAGGTGAATCCGCAGCACCCATCTCGGCAGAGACCTCGGCTGAAGGCCCATCGGCATCAGCACAGGTGGGGACCTCCCAAGGACACGAAGCAAACGCCAATGCCCATGCTGGCCATGCAAAAGATGATGGACCTCCAGTATCCGAGCAAACCAGCGACACTGCTGAAAATGAAGCAACCGGGGATGTTGCTGCAGACGGCGGCTCAAACAGCGGTGCGGCCGCGGCAGGAAAACTGGAAGATGAGCAAAGGCAAGGCGTGCCGAGTTCCCCTGACGGCTGTGCACAAGCTAAGCCGGACAGGCCCTCAAGTGGCCAAGGGCCACATGAGGCGCCCACAGTTGAAGAGGCCACGACTTCGCACACAGCGGGCGCCATTGAGGATTCGCCACAGGAGGGCGAAAGTGGCGGAGAAAATCTGTTGGAGAGCGAGCGCGGAGAAGGCGATGTTGGGGGTTTCAAGTGAGGCTCATGCTGGGCACGCCTCACCGCGCACCATGGATGGTGCTGCACCTGAGCTGATCGAAGACGCACACGGACGCGATATTGCCATGGAGCCGGCCATGAACGGTTGACCGAATGGTGGATCGTTGGTGATCAGGCGACATGTTGAAACGGAGCTACAAACTCCGCATGGCGAAGGGCTGTAAAACGTGGACGAAAGGATGCCAAAAATGCGCCCAATGAAGTAATGGCGGGATCTCTTCTTCGAACAGCAATGCTGTGCACAAGGGAGTGGCATTGGAATCTGAAAATCTGGGGAAGGCGGAAAAAATCAAAGCAAACTGATGATGGTGGGAGAAAGCAAG